CACACACACACACACACACACACACACACACACACACACACACACACACACACGCGCGCGCGCGCGTACACACACAAGTAGGCTACTCCTTAAATCTTCTTTTCAGTTGTCTTTTAGCCACACCCCTGATCTTAGGGTAGGTAAGATCTTACACCTAGCTTTCTCGGATAAGGGCGAAAATAAATATAATTTACATATTAACTTTCTTGTTGACGGAATTACTAATAGCGTTACCCTTTTGTTATCCTTTCATCCCGTCAACAGACCAAATGCAAGACTTACTTGAACTGCTTCTCAAGAATGCTCAGGTTGTGCCTGACCCGTCCGTTGATGCTCGTGAAAACCATCCGCTTCAGGCTAGACTGGACGGAAAACATGTTGAGAGAAAACAGTAATAGTGCAATTCTCTATTTGATAAGGTATTGTTGCGTTTGCTTATCTTCTCATTATTATAAACTAGTAAAAATGCAACACTACGTTTCAAGTTATGGGTACTGGCAAAGTTTCATATTTTTTTCACTGGATAGTTTCTGAGAATATACCTTTCGCAAAATTTGGCCTTAGCTCCATTAGTAGTAGGATATGTATTTGCTTACTGATAGAACAAGGTCATAAAGTAGGCCTATGCCCCTCTGCTTATACAAACAAAACACAGTTTTGACTATGTCCTGAAGAAACTTGTGAGATCATTTGCACCATAACCATATCACTATGACAATTTGTATATATTTATCATTGAAGTCATATAAATGTACATGTCGTGAGGGCTGCAAAAATCTCCACCTCGTTTTACTACCAAAAATGTAGAAGTTACGTACTGAAAAACCAAGTTATTTCCGGCCAAGGGACACCTTCACTTTCAGAAAGTACGAAACATTGTTGTGCGCGTACAACCTAAATTATCTGTTCGTCAAAACTCGGATTACTCTGAACAGTAATTACTTTATAACGTATGTTGTCTTCCCCTGTGCAGAGACCCTCGGGCAGTGATAACTTCCCAGCTGTCTGCGCTGATCAACCCTCTCAAGCTGAACCTCACTCAGAGTCTGAAGATCATCTGTCCTCAGCTCAGGGAAGACATCGGTGCCTTAAAACGACTCACTCTTCGCTATCCGGACAGGGTCAAGATGGTTCGATATGAACACGGCGCTTTGAATCCGCTGAAGTACGCTAGGGACATTTACCGTTTCATCGGCATGGACTTAACCGACAATGTAGTTGACTTTGTTAACTCCATCACTTCTGCAAGGGCAGACGATAGCCTGTTTGGCACAGTCCGAGCGAGCTCCGCGGAAGCTATGGATGCCTGGAGGCACCGGGTTAGCTTCGATGAGGCCAGGGAGGTGGACAGATGGTGCAGCGATGTGTTGCCAGATCTGGGATATAAGTTACTAACGTCGAAGGCTGAGCTCAAGTCCAACAGCTCTCTCTTGTTGGAATCTGAATTAGACTGATACCTCACGTGATTTCGGTCATACACTGATCACACCAGTAGTAAACAGGTTCTCTACAACCGAGAATAAGCTGAGGATTGACATTCCTGAGCACTCAAATATTCTGTTTACTTTAGTCTTGATTTGTTTCTTGGCTGTTTGCCTCTACTGACACGGGGAAAACCCTAACCTAATATGGAAATAGTTTTAGTTTAAGTAAAAGTTTTACGGCACTTGCAACACTATAAGGTCATATAAAAGCAGAAGATAAGATGTGTTAGAAGAGAGTAACAAATGTTAAAAAAAAAAAAAAAATTATAAAGGAGGAGGAGGAGAGATCAGGACGACAGGTATTTGATAGGAAAGAAGGAGCAAACCACACCAGAGCAGCCACCATCCACCCACTGATATATGAAAATGAAACCGCTTAACCTGGCAAGTTTGTAGTTACTCCTTGACCTTGTATGTAATTGTAGATGGGTGTTCTTTGTAATTGTAGAGAAATTCTAAGGTTGGGTAAAGTGAAGTTCATCGACACAACGCCATTTTGGACAGGTGATAACCAACACAGATCGATAGAAGCGACAAGGTAAAATAAGCCATAAAGACCTTCCGATGGTGCTGTGCCGTCTAATCGTCCGCTCTCTCGTTGTGACAGAGAGTAGACAGTCAGTCGAATTCCAACAGAAAGAACCAGAACCTGAGCTCTGAGGTCAACCACCGTTATCAGTGGACATTTCGCTTGGTTATACATGTAATAGATAGGCCCAGTTATAAAGGACGGGAAAAGGTGGTGCTCTGAACCGACATTGGGCCCAAACTACCAGTAGCCGAGTGATTTCCTTGCATACACCAAAACACAAAACAAAAAGACCTAGCCTCTGTCCTGGTCATGAGTTGACGAAAGTCCCAAAATCCATGTGTTCAAAACTAAGCATTCTCCAAGATACGTGTCCCGCACCAAATACCAGTACACCAGTACATTATAATTTTGTGACATTGTAACAAACAGCTAGCAAACACAGCAGCTATTAAAATGGGTCGATAATACACTGTCGACCAAATTTTGAAAATTGTTGGGCTTAGGCATATCTATATTATGCATAATATTGTAATAAATTTCATACGGCATTTGTGTTGTAAAATCGGATTCTGGTGTCGGATTTTTTCTTTATCAGGAGAGGATTTCCGATACAATACGTATTTTTTAAAATCTCTCATTGTTTCATTTAAACATAAATTATATAAATCCCTAAAATGTCACACACATTTTGGGCTAAGGCATGTGAAAGTGATTTTCATTTGGGTCATAAAGGATGATAGCGAAAATCTTATACCAGATTTGATTAGGTCAGGATTTTTTTATAGCATGCGGCGCATTTTTTTCTCTTTGATTCATTTAAACATAAACCCATAAAATCCCACGTGTGTATGAATGTCAAAAATATAATTTTATTCTGTAAAGTTCAGTTCATTATGTAACATCTTTTTCTCGATTGAAATCCTTATCTAATCAAATGTGTCATCACACGTTACTCTTTTAATGTCTGGTTCAGCTAATATGACCTCTTTCAACTTAGTTAGCATCACCGACGCTTGCCTTTTCCGTCCTGACTTTGTAGCACCACAAAGAAAAAACACAGAAAACACTGTGGGTTGATACTAAGTTCCAGAATTCAACGTCACAACTAAATAGTAGAAACCGCTTACATTAGCTTTAATAAACGATCATCAAATGATGATCTCCTGTAGAAATTTCATAGTGACTTTATTACGCAATTAATTAAAAACACTCTTCAGCTTTCTTGCATTGTCTTTCGAATTTTAGTTTGTATTATTTTTAGCGTTGTTTGTATACAATAAACTGAATAACGGAATGTGTCATTTTTTACAATGTGATACGGGACACTATGCAAATACACAACACTTGTGAATAATACATTGTCTTTCTGGAAATACATGTAATAAAAGTTACTTCCCTTTTTCAATAGAGCCTGTCATTCTTACTTCCCCTGACAAAATCAAGAATGCCTGAAATTATATAAATATGTGAATTCTGCTAAAAAGCGGACCTGATTAATGAAAACTAACAACATAACAATATTTGGATTAAGCACACCAATGTCCATAAGATCTGACAATTTTCATTGCTAAGCTTTTTTCATCGTTGATCAGTGATGAAAGAAAGTTGAAGTAGAATTGAATTGCCCCGTAACAAGATCACGAGAGCTTACAATTCCACGGTGTGCTATGGGCTAATACGGTGTATATTATATATGTATCATATTCATCGAAGACGGCCTCCATTGTCGAGGAGAAAAGAAGCCATCTTAGACAGGTGGACGTTTTACACGGTAGGCCTACCATTACATGTATAATAAAATTCATGGGAGGAAATTGGAAGCGGCTGTTTTGCACATTGTCGTATACAGGTGGCCATTAGAGTAGGTCCAACTGTATACAAAGTATTGAAAATGTTCTCGTGCAAACAGTTGTCAAGGGATTTTCAGGTGGAGAGAAATCCATTATAAATGTTCTCATACAGTTGTTTATGGTGCTAATCTGAAAGAACCATAAGATGTTTCATGTACAGTTGTGTTAACTTATTCGCTCATTACAAATAAAGGCATTGTAATTTGTAACACCTCAGTAGTTCAGTGTTCTGAACTTTTAGTGGCCCTACCACTTTCATGGTCTTTTACTTTTATTTATGATAATGTTTACTCTTCGCTTGGTAAGGAGAGGACCCTCTGCATTCTTGAAGGGGGGTGCGACCTGTTTAATTATGTTTACTACTAGACATTAAAAAATGAACAATATGATGGCAAGGGCCGTTGAATGGTGCTCAACATTCAACTGTAATTTAGCTCCTTCATTGTATAAGTATAAGCTACTTCGTTTCAATACCGTAAAATATGTAAGGCATTGTTAGTGTTACTCACATCCTTTGTCCATTGTACATCATGTACATGAACTTCCACCCGACCCGCCATCGTCTTTGAATCTCAGCTCACAAACAGTGAGAACTTGTGCGCACTTTATGATAAAAGTAGAATAAGAGGCAATCAATATCTGTAACATTTATTTTAAGTACATGTATTCCTCAAATCAGAATAAAACCACAGCTCAAAATATAGTAAAACTACAAGTAGTCTCTCGAAGACGAGCGCAGATCTATGCCCCTGGCGTCCTTCGAACAACGAACTTTCTGTAATCGATACGTGAACTTGAAATATTTGACTTGACACGTGTTCACACATGTCGCTTTTAATGCCGTGCGTTTTTTCGCGGCACAAGGAATTGTTTAGACATCTCAAAGTGACAGAACTGCCCAGGAGGTTCCTACTCAACCATGAGTGCATTTGTATCTGATGCCAAGCAAAATATGTCATGATTTTCCATGGAGGTTATGGTGTCCTTTAGTTTCATATATAGCTTTGTGAATAAAAATCAAGTTTTGAAGGTACCGGCGGTTAAGAAAGGTCATGTACCGGTAATGTATAAAGTAATTTACCCTGAAGATGTTACTCTCTTCACACGGTTTGTGATTTAGTCACTTTTAATTTTAAGGCAAGGAAGCAGAAACAAATTATTGAACAAATAAAGTATGTATCCTCCAACAAGCCTGCCATGGCAGCCTTGAAACTCAAAACGTCAAGTCAATGTAGGCCTACAAGCAGGTCCACAAAACAGTCCTGGACTTGGGTGTCTCAACACAAGGCACATGCTAAGCTCCACACACAGGGAGAAAAGCCCAGCATTGATTTTTACAATCCCACCGAGACGGTGATGTGCTCCTGGCTCTCAAACCGAGTAATGAATATGAAGCTGAACCTCCAGTTCCACCAAGTTAAGTTAAACTTTCTTCCCGAATACACATAGTCATTATTTAGCATAAGCAAAAACAAGTAGGCCTACTTAAGCCAGGTCAGCAATCTTTATCATCGGAACTTTAGAATCCTTCTTCATAACGTATAATTTCATAGACAATGAACTTGGCCCCTCCTGGATGAAAAAAAAATGGTAGCGGGGCGAGAAAAGTCCTGCGAGATGAAATGTCTAGGGAGAGCTGTCAACAAAACCAGACGGGACATGGTCAGAAACAACAAGATCAGAGAAATCGTGGGAACAACACCTGTCCTCAACTACATCCGAAGGCAAACAATCAGGTGGTTTGACATCACACGTATGGCACCTAACCAGCTTGCCAGTAACGCCTACTACAGTGGAAATTATCAGGGAACAAGGCAAGAGGAAGACCAAGAAAGACCAGGATCAAGGGTGTGAAGGATACCCTGAAAACATTCGATATCCCACCCAGCCAGGCCATCAAACTTGCAAGAGACAGGAAGCTCTTTCTCTCCTCGACGCCCCAGAGGTACATTGTACAAGAGGACGGATAAAGTAAAGTAGGAGAGAAAAGTTAAAACAACACTTGTTTTTCAAATTTTAGTAGAGGTTTTACGGCGCTCGCAACTGCATAAGGCAAGGTCATATGATGAGCGCCAGAAAATTAGAGGTGTTACAGGAGAGTAGCAAACAAAAAAGAAGAAGGGGAGATATGGACGATAGATGTTTGATAGGAAAGAAGAAGCAAACCACACCAGAGCACCCGTCAACCACCCACGAAACTACACCACAACAGCAAACTAAGAAAGATACATAAAGTTTCTGACAATGAGGTGAGAACCCATTATTTTTGTTTTAGTAAGAGTAAGAGTAAGAGTTTCACGGCACTTGCAACACAATAGATCATATAAGTGCCGAAGATTAGAGGTGTTACAAGAGTCAAGAGGGGCTCTCGTGGCCTAGAGATTAAAGTGTTTGCCTCTCATTCACTAGGTCACGGGTTCGAATCCAGATAGCGACTGACAATTTTTTCCCCCTAAAATGTTCTCCTTTCACCTTTCCTGCTCTCCAACAGTGTTCTGTTGTTTGCTTTCGTCTCCACTTTCTTCTGCCCTGTCCTCTGGGCTCCGGACTCTTTTTACAGCCTTTCTACCCTACTGCTACTCCTTACTGCAGTCTTTCAGCCACACCCCTGATCTTATAGTACAGTAATCACGTAGTAAGAAAGGTCTTCACTAAGCCTTCTTGGACAAAGTTGAAAAATCTTGGGGGTACGGTGCCACGTGAAAGATCCCTTGGTGGTTCAAAATCGATTTATAAGAGTAAGCTCCTGCCGCCACCTGGGCAAAAATTCAAAATATTCTATCCACCAACTGAAAATGTTTTAACGTGTCCCGCGCCCTCGTATGATCTAACTTTTATTGTTTTAGCGTTTTACGGTACTTGTAACACAATAAGGTCATATAAGTATAAGTGCCGAAGATTAGAGGTGTTACAAGAGAGTAACAAAAACAAAAAAGAAGGAGAGATAATTTAAATTGTAATAAGTGTTTTTCGGCACTTGCAACACAATAAGGTCATATCAGTGCCAAAGATTAGAGGTGTTACAACAAGAGAATAACAAACAAATAAGGAGTTCAAGGAGAGATAAGTTTAGTTTTAGTAAGTGTTTTACGGCACTTGCAACACATCAAGAAGGAAGCCTGTTCATTCTTTTTTAGTTTTAGTACAGGTTTTATGGCGCTCGCAACTGCAATGAGCGCCAGAAGATTAGAGGTGTTACAAGAGAGTAACAAACATGAAAAAGAAGAAGGGGAGATAAACGATAGATGTTTGATAGGACAGAAGGAGCAAACCACACCAGAGCACCCGCCAATCACCCACGTTCACATTCTTCACACACAAGAAATACAAAACAAATTAAATTACAATAGGTTGCCATATCATTTCATTTAATCAAATGTGCTATGTACATAAAGTATTCAATCTTGTCTTATACAAGGTACCTCAAAATCCCATAAATTAAAACATAATCACACATTCAGGAAATGACTCATAAAAGTATGTTTTGATGTCTTGAAGTCAAGTGCATGATTGACCAGATTCAGTAGAATGCCGTTCTTTGTCTTCTTTATATGCAACACAGAAGAGGAGATGCAACAGAACCCCTTTCGATGTTCCAAGAAGCCAGTGGGAAACAGTTTTTAATCATTAACACCTTTAACAGTTAGCTAAACCTTCAAAAAGAAAAAAGTGGCACAAAATATACATATAACAAATGCCAACTGAGGCATGATCTGACCAATACTACTTCACTTTGTGAAACTTGAAAAGGAAAAAAGAAAATTGCATAGGCACAACAATGTTTCTTTGTTTTGCAAACGAAAATGGAAGGTAAATGTTTCAAAAGCTGGCATGAGGAACAAATAGGTAAGGAGCAAAATACTGTTTCAAGCACATGCAATTAAAAAAGTCTAAATATCTTGACCAAAGAGAGCAAACTGCAGGTGTGAGACATCTTAAACATGTCACCATCCTGTGTGTGGTTTCACTTTAGTGAGCACTACTGTCCCTTCCTACTTTGAAAAGGTAATAATCCAACCACTATCACTATACAAATAGCCCTACCTATGTATTATCGTTTCCTGAGCATAAAAGGCACAACATCCTTAGTACTGTCTATTTCAACCTATTTTTGAAGGATCATTACAATATATATAACATCTGATGTAGAAAAAAAAATTTCAACCAGCATGTTCTGAATCTCAAAAATTAAGACTGGTTGCACATATGAGTGAACCAGCCTATAAAGTTGTGAAATACGGGGGTTCTTGCCGATTGTCTCGATAACAGTGACATGCACAAAGAAAATGGACATAAGCCCCATTGACTGCAATCACAGCAGAGTTAACAATCATAAAGAAATAAAAGACTAGAGAAATCAGGAGAAAACCTGATTCTTCACAGCCCCCACCCCCACAAGAAGTATAAAGGTTTGGACAATTCATGGACAAAAAATGATCATGATTTCAATAGATGCCAATCAAGTAGTGTAGAATTATAAAGTTTATGACAGTATCAACCAAATGAAGGTTGACAATTATATACCTTATGCTTCTGGCTACTTTACCCTACAAAAGTTTAATACCGTTACTTATTGACTGGCCACAACACCAACGTTGTCAAAGCCACGAACAGCTCCATAAATGCTCATGAATTATTTTGGCAGCTCACACAGACTTCAACCTTTCTTCCAAGTCAACCTTTTAGTGCGGGAGGTACAGGCTGGCCATAATCTTAAATCAAATTTTTTTTGAGAGATCAAAACTTTCAAGACACATTTTTTAAAAAAGGGATTCATTTTAAAATCCATTAATTTTCAGCGACACTGTAAGAGACAAAAAACAGGAGTAAATATCTATTAAGCAATATGAAACTAGTAACAAGTCAAGTGTGTTTTCTCCTTCAAGGTGTTGACACTACACACAAAAGAGTTCAGCGTACAAAGCTATTGGATTAGGTACCTGGTAAAACCCAGCACTTTACACACACACTTAAAATGGGAACAAAATAAAGTTAGCATTAAACTACACAATGACAATGATTCCAAGATGAATTCCGCGATCATTTAAAATTAATAGGCTATTAAGCAAAATGTTTCTGGAAATGAATTTTCAAAATAAATTGATGGATGGTGATACAGGTGCCAACTGGCAACTGTAAATGATGCTCAAAATGCTCAGTCAAACATGAGACCAGGTGGCCATTACCGCAAGCCACTAGATAACATCCCTTGCTGTCACAAATGATTATCCCAACACTTAGTCTAGCAAAAAGAAAAGATTTGTCAAAATACAAAGTCTCACAAAATCTGTGTATATAAAAGATTATCATTAATCTGTCACAACTCCTTCCCCCCCCCCCCCCCCCCAAATAGAAATGAGAAGTTGCAAAGCTGCAGGAGAACAATATCTACAGACCAGTACATCTTCATAGAACTCACTGTCAGAATATGTGACCAATGATGTTCAAACGTCAAAACTTTTTCCACGACTGGGACCAAATACCCCCCCCCCCCCCCCCCCATTGCAACAAAGATTTCTTACTATACACCCTCTAAATAGTGGAAGGCATGTTTCTTTGTCTAGGACCATTTTGTTGTGAAGTAACATCCACTATCAGAGACCTAAGGGGACTTGTACATCCAGCACACCTAACTATGCCTCAGCTGTGCAAAACAAAACTGAGTTTAATAGTCATCTAGATCAAAATCTTCATAAAGACCATCATTAAGCGTGGGGTCCAGTGCTTGAAAATCAACTTGGTAGCGAAGAATACCTATGGAAGAGAAACAAAAAGATCAAAGTATGAAAAAATCCTGAAATTTTTCTTTTTTATCAAGTGCAAGCCCATCTTCAAACACCTACGAACAAAGTACAGTCCATGCTGGCTTTTAGCATGGTCATCGGGAGAAACCTTAAGCGTGCTTGAGTGCGAAGTAGACATAATCCAGGGATTTTCATGTCGAAAATTTCTCGTGCTATTTCCCTTTGTTTGTAAGTAGGTCTATAGCGGTCCTGCAAAAGTGTGCACGGTTATTTTAACCTGCCATGGCAGTTTTTGTTAGCTTGTTTGTTCTTGTTTTGTGAACGAAAGGGAAATGAAAACTTAATTTAGACGGCCAGTCACGATACAGCACACTATGCCTACACACTGCATGTGCGTACCACTGCCCGCTCTGCCACATTCATACCACCACCTTCATCCCATCTCGCGCGTGAGACACTATCAGGATTAATGGATAGCGAGGGTCAAAGGTGAAATCGTAGCCAGCCTCCCTTTCTCGTCTCCCCGACTCTCTTTGGGTTTTTTTTGTCAGTGTGTAGCTTTACCCTAGGCTAGATCCATGTCCACGTGTGCGGCTGTGAGCATCTTCCTTCCTCTCTGCCCATGTGAGTGTGTGTCTCCATCACTTGCGTTCTTTGTGTTTCTCTTAACACACTCACTGCTGCGGTTTAGACTGTGTTCGAACTTCGATGGGTCATCACGAAAGTTTTGACTGTTTTGAGTCATGTAAATGAAGCTTGCCTGAAGCCGAAGTTACTGTGCTTTAAGGCGTGTAATTTATATAGCAAAATTTCGGTAAGAGCCATTTAGCGTGCTTGAGTCCGAAACGTGCTTTAAGCCGGCACGGACTGTACATAATATAATATTACCTCATCACATGAACAGACTGCACAAGAATGGGCATATTTACTGAAGTAAGCACCTATAAGGACAAATCAAGTTTCAATGTGTCAAAAACTGTGCCTTCCTCAGAACTGATAAAGAATCACTCGGTATCATATGTCCCTATCTTTATTTCATCATTGTAAAGCACAGACATTTTGATGTCATGTAGGACATTTTAAAACAAATTTTGAAATTGTACTCTTCTTATTGCTAATAAGATTCTTCATAAAGTAAAAAAAAAAAAATCAACTTGAATAATGGTTTTGTGACAAATATATACCATAATTCACAGAGATCTCTTTACCCTAACCAGACTTTCAACATAACGTAAAACACTAACATTCGATTTGTCTTATTCAGAGACCCCACGAGCCACAAAATACAATTTAGAACCTTTGGGGGGCAAACATTTTCAGAACTAATGCCACAAAGAGTGTCACTAGCAAACTTAAATGCCTGCCCCAATTATATTAGCAGCAGACAACAATCTTACCTCCTATACCACCAAAACCCTTCACAAACTGGGCACCTTCTTGTGATTTGTCTGTGATGATTTCCAGCGTTGCGCCTGAAAATACATTTTAGGAGAAAGAAGTTAGTTTTTTTATTCTCATTCAAGCCATAAACATGAGCACAGTAGCATTAAGTTATGCGGATACATAAAGTATCGTATTGGGACACCCCCCCCACCCAGTAAGATATACATTTTGTTAAATTGACCAGTAAGGAAGAAATTTATAAACTGCAATTTACCAGGAGAAAGATTATCTACAAGGGACTGTCTCTGGAATTATTTGGACTGAAAATTTTTATTTTTAAAAATATGTTTACCCATGTTTTTGGATTAACCATGTTCGGTTTAATTGGATTCCAGTGGAACTGAATTCATTTTTTAAAATCTTGTGACTTTAAGTTTAAAACCCAACCATCTGTTCTCTGATAAAATGGGTTACCAGATCTTTAACAAAACCAAATAAAGGATCAACTCACCAAAGTTCTTGTAATTGTTAGCAAACCATTCCAGGAGAGGCATCTGTTCTATCAACTCCAGTTCCACACCAGTCTGAAGAAAAAAGCAACAAATACTCCAATACAAACAGTAATTCAAATACATAAAAAGTTACATGCCAGCTAAGAGTGTTTTTTTGTTTAATTCCAAATTTTCACACAAACTTGTATGCACTTACGCCAGGCGGTGCTTCAATGCTGGTCCACGCAATGGTATTTCCACAGGTTAAAACAAAGGAAATCCAGTTTAATAGCAATCCCCACTTGCTAAAAGATCAGTCACTTGATCAACTGCCTAATGGACCTTACAACGCCCAGCCCAATCAAATAAATTTCATTGACAAACATGGAGAGACAAAAACTGATGTAGTCAGTGATCACAAAAAAAAAAGCTTCAAAACTGTTATAGAGAACAAAGATGACAGAGACAAAAATGAGCCAAAGACTTCTGACCCTCACACATACTTTCCGACTTATTCATAACTGAAGTACAAAGAACGCAAGTTAAAGCTTCATGAAAAGCCACAGAGCTCTGGTTCAAGACGACCAAAATCAGTGAGACAGAACCTTTTCTGACCCGGTGAAGAAAAGGAATGACTATCAAACCCCTGAAAGAAAAAAAAAAAAAAAGAGTTTCTCTCCCTTCTGCACATAAGATTGTCACATTGATATATCAGCTGAACAGCAGAACCTTCCGGTAACAACAAGACAGGTCATACTACTTTCCAAAACGATTATGGTACTGATTATAAATTCACAAAGAAAACAGTTATGTAACGATTGAGACAAAATATGGCGAATATCAGCTTTATCAACCATTAAAAAATGTGTTTTCCAAGTCACACGGAGCATAGACCTAATCAGATTCAAGGCTACCAGTGGTTGACCAGTCTTGAAGACGTTCATACAGATCTACATGTTTTCATTTTAACACATTACACACTAACTCGCCCGGGAATTCCCTTACGCGCTCCACCCTGACTCGCCCGGAACCGCTAGCGCCGACCCAGTGTCTTTAGAAACGAAAGTCTCGCATTGACGAGACTCTGGGGCCGGGATTTTGATTTGCATAGTATAGCAAAAAGTTTCTTCTTTCGTTTGATACCGAAACGAAATTTTTCGGGCCAGCAGTTTTAGTATTAGAGCTGATCGAAGTGCGATCGCGTTACCGACACTTCGAAAGTGCCTCGACTTGTTGAAAAGCGACACAATTGAGTTAGAAAACGGAAATAACGATGAATTTGAGCAAAAACGAGCATGTGACAAATCAGATGGCTCAGATATTGATGAAAACGTTGTAGGAAGAGTTTGGGGCGATTCCGATTGATCAGACGCAGAAATTATAGAATTTAGATCTAGGGCCCGACCGCGAGGCTGAGAGTGACGGGTCGGACACCCCGATTGAACTAAAGTTAGAACATTTCCAACAGTTTGTGCATACATAAAGTTATATTTTTCTGAAACTACATTCAGTTTTCTTTTTAACTTTTATTTTTTCAGGATTTTTAAAATTTGTTTAGTATTTTTAAAATGTGTTTTTGAAAGGCCTGTATTCACGGGAGGTGGGTTCTTTCCCCTTGCTTAGGATCTAACAATGGACTTCCCGTCCAGGCCCTTAGGGTGTAATGTGTTAATGAACAATAGAAGAATTAACTCACCTCTTTGTCTGTGAAATAAGTCTTATCCTTCTCTTGATCAGGCCGGAGATGTAAAATTTTCTCCTCTGAAACAAAAGTATGAATGAAATAAATGAGCAAGGCCAATTTTTTGACAATTTCTATTCTATTATCTTCACACTTAACACACCTTTTGAACAACATTATCTTTTGATGCATTATTGTCTAAAACATGACCACTTTCACAGGGCAGCAGTTTCACCCTTATGTTTCCAAGAGTATTCTTGATCATGGGTTCAATTAAAAGAAAAAAAAAACAAAGTGGAAAATATCTGCAAGGAAGGGGCAAAGTAGTTCTTACAACACATTAAATTACCACATGAGTACTCCCTAATAACATTCCAAGCCCGACAATTTTCTATATATCACACTTTATTTCAACCTGAATTTCACCACAACAAGACACACTTTTGCTCAGATTTTTAACTTATTATCTTACCATCTGAGGAATGATTTTTCAAAACAAATCGCTGAATATCCAAGTTTTCCCAGACAATCAATATATCCACAGCTCCCATTTCCATGGCCTTCAGTGTGTCATCTACCCCAAAGCAATATTTTCCAGTGTCTTGTGAGATTTCATCAAAGTAACGACCTGAAAAATACATAAACATTTCTATTGCACAAATACCATTTCCTGTAACTGCCTGAAAATGCAAGAAAATACAGAGGAAGGACTCAACCAGTATTCTGGTACGTTCATTACAATTCAGGGTCAGAAAAACTTGAACCATTGATTCATTTTTAAAAAAGACGATTGAAACTTCAAGCGCCTATCAATACAAGGTCAACAAAGTAAAGGAATTAGATACCCTTCGGCTAGCAACTTCATCTCTGACAAGGAACTGAAGACTTACGCAACTATAGAGAAAAAGATTTTTTTCTTCTCAAAATATGTACTGAACAAAGTCAAACATTAAGTTTTTGGGTGGTGGATAGTTTCACCATAGAACTAGAATTCTATGTAAAATATTGGTCACATTACTAGAAAAGAAAAATTTCTGCAACACTTTCTGTTTTCCTGTTCCAATATTTAGCAATGCCAATGAAAATTTAATTTTTTGCTTTAGCCATTTTTTATTTGGTACCTAAGAAAGAATTTTCAATTCTAAAAATTATGCTTCTTGAATTTTAAAAATCAGTTCATAAATAAAAAAGTTATTGGTTTGTAAAGGTCGGCAAAATATGGATGACCCACATATAGGAAAATACTCCTAAACAGTGGACCACGCAGTAGCAGATTCTGTAACATAATCGATGATATCTCGGTAATTAATTGGGAGTGTTAGAGAGAAACTTGGCTACCCGATGAATTTTTGGGTGGAAAAATCATTTCTGCAGTCAGATTTACTAACCACTTCGTAGTTATTTTGTTATAATTAAAATTTTCGTGCACATATGCATCGTATCACAACATGAGATCTTTAAGAATATAAGTTGGCAGCGTGACTAAATAATGGCAAAGCTTTCTTTGATGACTTTAGACCATGCCAACTGTTAAAAGTTAATTCAATCCAGCATGCCGTACAATTAAAAATTCTTTTCCCCCGTTGAGACACGAACACCCCGAGTGTCTCGCCTCGGAATACCCACATTGCAATGTTACAGGGTAACAGAGAGAAAAACAACCGGAGGCGCGCGCCCGCAATTGCCCCATTTCAAGTGACCAATGAACGGGCTCGGAATAGTCATGCAGGGATTAGTAGGTCACATACATTTGCCGCGAGAGTGAGGGGAAAATGGCCAGTCTCCGTGCGAAGCCGCTTTGGATAGGGGGGTAGTCGTGCATTTATGATCAGGTCTAAACAACTACTCGATACAGAACATTCAAATTTGAGCACACTATAGAGGATATAGACCTATTACAATCTCAGCGTTGAGATTCAAACTCCTTATAGTTTTCGGTACACCCGACACCAAAAGTATGGGTTAATTTATGTGTACGTACTTCAACGTCCACATGTTAGTTTGTCCTATTTTCTAATTGGTTTCCGAGTTTCACGTTGGTTCAGAAATAGAGCAGACCGAGGTGGAGAAAGTTATTCACCTACGCTACGACCCAGTCCAAAAATTCACCCGCAAACAAGGACCAAATTTTCGCCGCACGGGAAGCCCAATTAGCATAGCTATAATATTTCATAGGAAAAATGTCATATGTTTGCAATGACAGATGTCCAGTACTTCTAGGTGCAATCACATTTTCGTTTCGTTGACCAACTCTCCCCCCCCCCCCACACCAAAACAAGACGAACATCAGAATTTAAATTATGTTCGTAAAACTATGTGAAACATGAAGGCAGAGCTCTCGTTCTCCCACTTCAACCATGTTGGTACAGCTTAAAATTAGATTACCAGTACATTAGGTGCAAGCACATCATTTGCTGTGTTTGCAGACTGGGGAACAGCTGCACCAGCTGTGCATATGTTGTGTTAACTGCCTGAAGTGATTATGACAGAAATGAAAGTTCCTCCCCGATTTTTTTTTAATGCCACCGGAATTTAAAAAGCATTTTATCCCTGTTTCAATAATGTTGAAGGAACAGAAAAAAATACATAACCCCAGAACAGACACGCCCTTACATCTCAGCAAACACTGCTTCAAAATTTGTGGCGAGGTGAACTGGTGATAAGAACCACTCTTAGAGTCTTTTTAAACAACACAACATCAGATCCAGTTGTGCCACGAATCAACCAAAAAACTAGACTATAAGTAAGACACTAATATAGAACAAAGCCTTACCTATCAACTTCTTTTCTTGGATAAACTTGACGTTTGCAAGGGAATCCGAAGCTAATTCTATTGCTTGGTTGAAGCCATTCTCGCCACCATAAGACACATCAACAATTTTGATCACTTTTGCTTGGAGACGCTGAGGAAAAAAATAAAATAAAATAATAAAAAGAGAAAACTGGAGTATAACCCCCCCCCCCACACACACATTTTATAAAAATTGTCAAGCAGATGAGACTGCATCCCACCCCCACAACAAGGTTACGGTGATTCAAACCAAAAACCAGCAAACCTGTATTTTTACTTTAAGTAAGGTGTCACAAGAGAGAAATAAATATTAAAAAGAAGAAGAGTTAAGGGTGATAGATGTTTGATAGGAAAGAAAGAGTAAACCACACCAGAGCATCTGCCAACCTGTATTTGGCTCGATCTTTTCAGAGGTCCAGAGCTGCCACTCAGGAATTTCAAAAATTTCAAAAAAGGAGGAAATTCACGCAAAGGCGTACGCACGCTCTCCCAAGGCCGAAGTAAAACCAGTGAGATCCAGAGACAATATATTTAAACATCTAGCATAGGCTACTGTATGAAAATGTATTTGAAAAAAAACCCAACAAAAAAACATCCAAGACACTAAGTTGACTAACAAGCATTTGACACAGTATTTGTTGCCAGCTGGTGTCTGATAAAAAGATTTCTTTCACTTTAAATTTGTATATCAATGTAGAGCAGTATTAGATCAAGGAGGCAACACCTTTGCCACTGTACCGAGCGATTTCTTTATCGCACCAAACGCAAAGTGCAGCAAGCGGCTTGTTCAATTTTCTAATGAACTTTTCAAGTCGTACACAGTCTGCTTCTTTTTCATTCCAGCTCATTTTTATTTTTGCAGCCTGCATCAATTTCTCTCGAATTTACGTCGTTTTCAATGACAACTCGGTGCGCCAACGTCTCGATGCTCGATCGACATTGTCACTCCACAATAATCAAGGCGAAACTAGCACTAGGCAGGGAAGAACGGAAGTATAAAGCTACGGGCGGACATGCGCAAGCCACGTTTTTGTCTCTCTCATGGTTGTGTTTTCCGCGTGTTTAAAAAAAAAAGTATAGCAATTTGTGACTGAGAGCGGTCCAGTGGAGGAAGGAGGAAAGTAGCGGGAGAAAAGCTAGATGAAGTAGATTTCCGCTATTTAGCGGAAAAGTGGCAGCTATGGAGGTCCCACCGCTTATGTAACCTTAAAGTGCTGTAAGAGGCGGTAAGCCTATACCATTTCATAATCCTCAAAAAACATTATAGGAAATTCTTTAAAAAAAATAAAAATACAACAACAGAATAACCTAATAACAACGATAGGATGTAACATTGAAAAGACAATTGTACATAACAGTAAATTCAAGAACCCAAAACTATTCACAAGGTGATTTTTAATATTTCTTATTAAAACAGTGAGCCATTCAAGTAGCTAAAACATTTCCAAATATAAAACATGTCAGTGCTAACCAAAACCCTTACCGGATCAAACATATCTGACTGACTGAGTTCTGTTTTGAAGTCAGCCGATCCAGCCAGCACCAGCCCAGCAATGTTGGGTTTGTCGTTAGAGATGAACAGCTGCACAGCAACTTCAGCAACTTTTCTCACATAGTTGTGACGTTTCTCCATCCTCAAACGGGCAAAACGTAAAGCAGACTGACCTCCTCTACCTAAGATTAACATTGAAACAAAGAACAATGATTCACAATGAAACAACCAGATATAATAATTAGACACAATTACTTAAAACTAAAACTTCTGCACAGGGTAAATGCTCAAGAGGCCAACAATTTTTTGAAGGACTTATAATTAATAACTTTAGTAAGGGGCCAAAATCCCTTTCCCTGCAACGGGTAGACAAGCTTGGTAAAAAACAACAACCCAGTAACATGCAGAGGACTCACAATCTTAGAAAGTTATGTGCCAGAGCCTGTAGTACCTTGCTGGTTTAGCCAGACACTTTAGCATGATTTAACTTTAAAAGTATTTACAGAAATTATTCCTCCTTTTATATTTTTACCTGTTAGTCCAATGTCAACTTTCAAAATGACAAATACCAGTCTGGAACAGCCCAATGATTTGTCAAACACCCACTATTTTGTTCCAGGTATGTGTTGTCTACACAGGCTGAACACTAAAAAAATACACACATATGTCAAAAAATGTCCTTACCATGCTTCTTTGGTAAATCTACTGTAAACTTGTGTAAGACTTCTCTTGTGTTCCCTGATAAAGTTCCGAATAATGCTCCATTTCCATCCATGACAATGAACCCAAACTTATTATCATCTGCAAGGAGAGCTGTCAATGCCTGAAATTTGTGAAAAAGTGAACATTATATTAAATACAATGTTGATGAGTCAAAGACGGTGCTCAGGTAAGTGATTAGAAATGGCAGCTTAATGGAGTTGAAATATTACTGGAAAGAACCATAAATAAGACTGCGCACTTGAAAGTGTATAGCCACAAAACTTATTCCGTCATGTTAATTTCACCAGGGTCACTGGCTACTGTGGTGAGGAAAAGAATTACCTTGTACTCAACCACTTCTCTTAGAACAACATTTCTTCATATGTACAATAGAGAACTTATTATAAATAAAATAGAAAACTCAGGACACAGTAAACAGTTTCTTTTTTACAAAGTTCATGCGGTAAGTAGAACATTTATTAAACTTAAAATGACTGCTTCCAGAAATGAGAATATACCATGAAACTTAATCAGGCCAGAAGTTGGAATCAATACAAAACCTCAACCCCTTTTCTAAACTTCAAGAACTGTACGTGTCATCAGTGCTTAGGACAACCCCCCCCCCCCCCTAAATTGTATTTGCATTCACAAGTTTTAAGATTTGGTTAAAAATCAAAGGTAACAATTATATATCATAAATCTCTCCCGTTCAGTGTTGTTGGCTGTCGAACCAAAAGACAAACAAAAGATACAATACTTCATTTACCTCTGTGTGAAACTTGTTGTCACATAAATATAGGGAAGTGTTGATTGGGCGGAAAGGTTCAAAATCAATGTTAACTTTCTTTTCTTTGCCTTCTTCTGTGATGATTGTGCCACAATATATAACAAGACCATTCGGTGGAACTGTTGATGGAATAAAAAAGAAAAATACAATTAATATAGCTTTTGTAGTGTGAAAATTGCTCTAGAGAGAACTAGACACAACCAAAAAGTGCACCAGTAACAAGAACAAGGAGACAGACTAAGCAGTGAGACATCAAATATGGTTAGAAGCTGCTTTTCCCAGGTACACTGTTCCCTATAAATTTTCAGCACCCAGTAACAAATGTGGAAAGACAAGGCCAGTTTGAAAACATTTAGGTATGAAGTTACTCACAGAGAGTTCATTACATGACACAGTTCAACTAATGGGGCAAGAGAAATTGAATAAATTTGAGGTACTCTCAACTGTGAAAGGACAAGAAGTCACAAAATAGAATCAGCCAAGGAAAGGATTAGAGAAGGCCAGAATGCACATTTATAAAGTAATAAAGGCAACCTGAACATCTTTTAAAAATGTGTAAATTTTTCTTATATGCACACTTGTACTTGTTTCAACTGAATATCATTCCACATAAGAAGACTGTCAAAGAAGTGCAATGTGTGTAAAGAGCGAAATCATCAAAGGAAGAGCTTTGTGCAAACATCCTGGAAACGGCCAAAATTAAAAAACATAGGCCCTACCTTTGTTGTACAACTTGAGCCTTTGTTGTACAGATGTGATGGCACCAAGTACAGACAGTCTGTTCACACGACTTTTGATATTGGAAGCAGTACCAAACTCATCAGCTAACATTTTGTTCACACGAGCAATCTGGTCTCTGGGTGGAATGATCAGGGAAATCATGCTTGTTCCATTTCTGAAAACAAAAGACAGCCATTTTTAAATTGGTTGAGCTTCATCTGATTAAAAAATAAATCTTTTCCACATGAATTTCTATCATCCCCACCGCTAAACTCTACACCTAATCCAGCATTTTGAGTAAGTTTCTTTTACTTTATAAAAGAAATATGGTTCATGTAAATGGGCAAGTTCTAGATCTATTTGTAGTGTTATGTTAAATGCAAAAATGCATAGCACGAGTTAGAATATTTTATGGAAAGGCTGGCACTATTATTTCTCCGAACGCTCTGGAAAATAAACTTGAACTCTATTTCTCCTAACAGTTTAGGCTCTCGAGATGTGTTGGTTATTTGCGAATATAGTGGCCCGCGCCTGCATGTATAAGGTGTGTACAGGGGGGGGGGGGGGGGGGGGGTTTGTTTACATGATGGATTTTTAAATTAGTTTTTGCTTTAGGTTAGGGGTGACAAAATGCAAAAATAGGATACACTGCCAAAGTCGAGCAGTCTTGTTTTCTCGCAGTACCTTTAGAAGGCATTTTCAAATGAAGTATAATCCGAGAACATTGTCTGTCTCAATCACAATTGAAGTATCTGAAAACTCAGACATTTAAAAAATCTCTAGCTCTAGAAAATGAATTCGATGCAAAAAATGCTTCCTCCCAGCCCTCGCAGAAGGGCAGAATGAAAGATGATGCCGAGATCTCTCTAATAACCAAAAATCTCGAGTACAAACCGTTCAGAGAAATAGAGGTCAAGTTTATTTTCCTGAGCATTTAGGCCCTACCAAAAATACTTTAATACAATAATATGATTACAAACTGTCGATTAGCCTACATTCTAAATTAAGGGTACTACTAATTGCCGTCTGGAGTCCGTTATCTCTTGCATGTGCTGCAGCTGCTACGCGCTAACAACCAAGTACATTCACAAAACTTCCGCTGTCTTTAGTCGATAGATCTACCCCTTTTACACCTGGGTGTGGTGAGAAATGGAGAGGGGATGGCAGGTATGGAGCAAGTACGAAAACAAAGGCAGGGTCTACAATTTCTTAACTGTGAAACGAAAAATAAACAATCAGAGATTGTTGGTCTGCTTCGTCCAACTTCTGGTTCACAACAAAACTGTCCTCACCAAAAAGTCAGTTCCGTCCAGTCTTTTATGATTTTACACCAGTTTTAACAAACAAAAAATATGTTTAAAAAATCGGAAGGCAAAATAATTTAAAAACAGGTCTACAGGCAACTCCAGACCGCAATTAGATCTATCCATCTAGCAGGACCGAAAATTAAAGACGTCTCCTGGGCACTCCTGTACAATGGCGGTCCCGTTTGCACTAAATCACACTAGCACAGAGTACTAAGTATCGATACTGATTTAAATAGTCGGTTTCAATGTTTTATCAGTAGCCTACATCTAGCCCACAAAATGAGCAAATAAAATTTCACTTGTTTTTAACAAGGCAAAGGGGGTTTCAGGGGGACGCCCCCCCTGAATTCGACCATAATTTGATGTTTTGGAATTAGGTTTGATAGGCTATCTCTCGGCTGGATTGTACTTTACCAGACCACCAGTCTGGGCCTGTGATTACTACGCACGCCTAGCCTAACTGCGCACTCTAGTTCTCTACGTGCGGACAAAAGGTAGTTCAGCGGGCGACTTCGCACATAGCGCAAGCCAGCGGCGAGGCGAGCGAGAGGTGGTGGTTGAGGGTGGGTAGGGGATTTACCACCGTGTATCTGGGAGGGGTGTGTGTGTGTGTGCGTGCGTTTCAGGGGGGTGCCCCTCTGGCAACAATAATTAAAAAACACACACACGCATAAACAATAACATTAGCAGACCATGGAGCTAATTGGACAATCGGGGTAGATCTAATTAGAGTTGGAACAGGCCGAACCTTGGTTCGCAGCACTCGCCAAGTGGCGAGCAGGGCCGAGGGGGTTGCAGTTATGCAAATGAGCTCTCGTGCGCACCTCTCGCCCTCCATTGTACTTTGCCGGACCAGGAGTAGGCCTAGCCTAGCACTACTAGCAGAGTCGCGAGCAAATTTATAGTGGACCACGTGATTAGATTGACCAATTAGCCTGAAAGGTGTCAGGGTCCTGGGTCAAAGGGCACGGTGGCATGGTCGTGATGACTGAAAAACTCGGTAAAGAGACGTCAGTCGGTTGTTGGCAGTCAAAGGGTGAGGACGTAGAAAACTCAGGAGAGAGTAACAGAGCTCGGAAAGGAAGAACAGCGGACCACTAGGCACCAGGGGCGCCATAGCGAAAGTAGTTCCGACTTGTGGTCCCGTAAAGTACAATCTTACCTATCTCTCCATATCGGCACACGCATCAAAAAGTTATCGTTTAGAAGTAAAAGTAAGTAATCGTTGGTGGGGTCAAGACTAACTCAAACTGTGTCCCCATACGGGACCGCAATTGTACAGGAGTAGCCTACCCTCTCCTGGCCACATAGCCTACAGCCTACAGCAAAAAGCAATGAGTAAATATAAATAAGCTTATCGATACAAAAAGTTTACTGATTATTTGTCATCATTTGTCATTTGTAGCCAGTCAAAGAGTTGGGCTTTAAATTCAATAAAGTTTTAAAAGGCAGCCTCCTCTAAAAAAGTTTTGAACATGAAATGGATCAAATTATGATCTCAAATACAGAGTCTAGACTAGATCTATCTAGATCTAGATCTAGATCTATCTACTGAAACAGCTTCTAGATCTAGATCTAGATCTAGATGGACTAATAATAATAAGGCCCTTTCTAGAACACTAGACCTAGTTAAATCTCTCAGCGTCTCAACCCCCTGGTCCTGCCCTGTCCTGACCCTCCCCATGCCATGGATGCTTCTTCACAAACTCTGGTCAATCATGACATGTGTTCATCAACCACAAAGAATTGACTTACCCTCTGGCAGCTTCTAAGCTTTTGATGAGCTTTTTTATCTTCCAGATCTCAACATTTCTGTCTGCGCTTGACTCTCCGTCAGCACCGTTGCTAGCCATCTCTCTCAATCAAGTTGAAGACGCAGTTGAGATGGCGGCTTTTCCCTTTGCGTCAACCGTATGGCGAGAAAGGTGGGTCTGAGTGGGGTACAACAAATATTGTCTTTCTATCTTACCGATTCAAAGACAAACTTTAAGTAAAAGGGAACTCCTTCAACACACCCGTACGTAATGACCAATGAACTGTTATTAGAAAATAAAACTGCCTAACAAAAATAACTACTTTTCTACCAATGGTGCAACATCCTTTATTGGTATTCTCTCAAACAGTCTTTCGCCATGTGAAAGGAATGACGTCACGAGATCATAGCAGTCTCTCACTTGAGAACTTGTCGGCCCAGCTATTGGAAAATAATTAGGCATTTTGATAAATATAACAACAAATATACCAAAATATTTTTTGTCTTACAGTAAGTTTATCATAAAAATGAAAACAGACTTTTAACCTCATTAAAATTTTTGTTTGCATCTATTTTCTGCTGAACTTGCTAAAATGGCGACGCCCATAGTGAAAGTAAACAAAAAACTCCACACAGAACAACAAAATTTAGGACGAAAAACTAATCTGTGTATTTGTGTGTTTTGTGGTATTCCTGGCAGTGGAAAATCTTCTCTCGCCAGAGTTCTTTGTCAAAATGATAGTAGCCGAGTGCATTTTCATGTTGAGTATGACAAAGTGATCCCTCCTTTCGAACTTGATTCAAGAAGAAATGTCAAGGAACGGAGGTTTTTTGAAATCGAATCGGAATGTCCACAGCACAATGGAGATACGGTAATTGTAACAAATTCAAGCGCATTGAATTCTTAGCAACGCTTAAATTGATGTTGAATATGTTGTTTAAAGATAAGTCTGAATTTATCACTCTTGGGAATCCTAAATGGAATCTTTATGATTAGCCTAGCAAGGCTGTAATTATTACGGCAGAAGATATTCGGAGACGTCTCCAGCGAGCACCCAGGAACTATTCGGAGATGCACTCCCGCACACAGATGCACTGTTTTTGGGGGTCAAACTGTGTATTATTTGCTGCAGATCACACATATAGCCATTAAAACTGTCGCAAATCAATTATTTTCAAGAAAATTTCAAAATTAACTGCAAAATCAAATTCAAATTGTGGGTTAAAACAGGGGGGCAACCCCCCAGATTTTTTTACTTGGTCTAGAAGCACAAAGCATTTTGATTGATATATTACCGTCGGAGCCATCTCCAAATAGATATTGGGCCCCTGCGATAAATTACTGACTTAGATCAGATCAAGAGGCAGGAGGTCTGGACTTAAGAATCTGGGTCCTGTTTTGGGAACTAGTTTTGACCCCACCGACGATTACTTCTGCTTCTAAATGATTACTTTTTGTTGCACGTGCCGATATGGAGAGATATGATAGCCTATCAAACCTAATTGCAAAACATCAAATCATGGTCAAATTCAGGGGCGTGCCCCCCTGAAACACTTGCAACTAAACATATTAGGTAAGGCGACCATCTTGTGTGACGTCAGACCGGGATACCCCTCCGATCAGGTGACTACATGATCTAAACATAGCCAATTGTGTGGCACCAAATATCATGGGCTTACAACCTACCATGGCACAACGTTTTGGTGCGATGTTTTTCCAGGAGACGTACCGGTAACGTATTATGATGCAGTGCTTCAATGATGCTGCTGCTTATCTCTTCTGTGCATTTTTTATCGGGCCCGGGGGGGGGGGGGGTAATCTCCTTACGTCTTTACGGCAATTTTTGCGCGCTTTATTGCCTTTGTGTTTCACGTGTTTCAATTTCAAGCGTTAAAGAGTTCTTACCGTTCTGAGCATCAACGATCTAAGTGATCTTCCATCACCAGAGCATTGCTGACGTGCTGCAAGTGTGAAATTTTACCCTGTGAAACACATCGACACAGATAATAGGTCAAGCCACTGCCCCTACATATTATTATGTCGTTCCATGCAGTATCTCCAAAGATCGTGTAGTGCTAGTGTAGTAGAGAATCTCTGGATCTCCATGGTCTTCTAAAAATAGTCTCTGGGTATCCCAGGATGTGATGACTTCACATTTCTAAAATAAAGAGCCAATCAGGCAGGTGCATCGTTCTACGTTTAGCCGCATGTCCCTGAAACCTCCCCCCTCCATGTTTTTGTTAGGTCAGGGGGCCTGAAAACCCCCTTGCCTTGTTAAAAACGAGTGAAATTTTACTGCTCATTTTGTAGGCTTGATCTACTGATAAAAAATCGATACCGAATATAAAATAATCAGTATCGATATCCAGTACTCTGTGTGGATGATGCCAAGTCTAAACAGACGAGACCCACATATATACAGTGGATGTCGCATTCAACGAGGTTGCCGGGACCGGCTTGTTGTTCTCGTTGGATCAGACCTCTCGTTGAACATGACTAAGGCTAAAGAAAAGAAAGGAGACATGTTATTACACATTATTTACACAATGTACCAATATCAGTAATTAAACAGTTGTTCCCCCTGATGACGAAAATCTCAAACAGCATCAGTGTCGCGAGTTTGGGCTGTTTTCTGACAGTCATTTCTGCATAATTATTTTTTTTTTTTACCGGAATATACCCTCTCACATCTAGGCCTAGATCTTCATAAAGTGAAGGCGGGAGCTTGGATTTTCAGATCAGAGGAAGAGAAGAAAATTGAAAAAAATGAAGGTCTCGATCTAGATCTACCCATCCAGAGTTCATCCAGTTTCACACAGCCCCAAGGAGGTTATACAGTTATTTTAAGCTCCTTGCTCAACCTGTTTAGCGTTCCTACCCACCCCCTCCCATACCGTAGGCTAACTCTCGCCCATCCTCTTGGCTTTGGGCCCATATTAGGAGGCACACTAGATCTAGCTATACAATGTGTTAGGAATCGAGAATGGGCATTGTGCTTCTTGTGAGATGGAGAGAAAGGAGAAAAATTTTTCGCTTTTGGGGCTGCTAATTGCTTAGGGTTATCACGACCTCGTTGAAAGCAACTTCAGTCTGTTTGCAACCTCGTTGGAGCTGACGTACATTTACAAAGAGATATAGAGGACAAAATCGGGGATTAACGATTACCTCGTTGAAGCCGACTTCTCTTTGAATGTGACACCCACTGTACAGTCAAACCTGTGTAAAACAACCACCCATTGTCAAGAAGAAAAGTGGCCGTATAACACAGGTGGCCGTCTTAGGCGGGACTGATCCAAATGAAGAAAGCAAATCATTCTCTTCTGAGGTCCAAACCCATTCTGATCTTAGGCTTTAGACTGCCGTAAGGCTAATTCAAAAGGGGTTTGTTTTCTTTTGAAAAAGGGGGGTGAGTGGTGTAAGAATCTTTGTGTTGATGTTTTGTTGTTTTTTTTGGTAGCTTTCTTTTTTTTTTTACTGATTTTGTGCAAGGGTCCTGTAAAACAAACGAAATATTATGTACCGTAAGTAAGACGATGAAGCCCAAATGCCATAGTAAAGCAAACACTTGGGTCGCCACCACTCAGAGAACAAGCGACGCTTCTGTCGCAAGTTCACATGTTACTTTGTTTCAGATTAGATAAACAAAACAGTGACCAGCCACCTCACATACGATTTGTGCATGAGTTGTGGGCGGGGTTTATAGGTTATAATATGACAGATCACACGCTTCCCTCACCTGCAGTTGAAAATTTATTGTTAGCCCTACCCGTTGGTCAATTTGGGTAAGCATTCATTCGAGGGACTAACAATAACGACAGGGGAACGAATTATGACGGCCTACAGATTCAAAATTTATGACAAAGCGTGTGGTGATTAGTGACCATGCCTGGCTGCCTGAGGCAGGTAAATTTGACCGTGGGTTGATAAAATAAGGTGGCCGCGGCCGCGTTGGACAGGTGACCGTTTTACACAGTTAAATTGAATATTAAAAACGCAAGGGGTGAAATGGAAAGTGGCCGTTTGTACAGGTGGCTGTCTTATAGAGGTGGCTGTCATAGTAGGTTTGACTGTATATGGTCTTGATGACATGATCCAGAATCTAGATCATGTTGTATTTACTGGAGCTACTCATCAAGCAGTTATTTGAGTTATGTTTACTTATGTAAAAGAAAACGATTGAAAACCTTGATGATTGACGAATTTTATTTTATTTGACTAAATAAATTGCATTTCATTTTAAGTTTTAGTTTTTTCTGTCCTCTTCTCAAAGTTAGCAGCTTGTAAGCAAAATGTATGCTCAGAATACTAAGTACGTATCTAGCTTAACACCATTAATGTTTATAATGAGGCCGACTGTTCATTTATATTATGCATGTGACTGTGAGCCTGTTTGTGAGTGCAAGCATATTAACTGTATTATTATAGTAATGTTCACAGATGTGTGTGGAAGAGAGGATGTGTGAAGGATAGTGTGAGTGTGTGTGTGTGGGCCTATATACTCTTTTCTGAAAGAAACTTGACACATTTTCTTTGAACGTAATACTATTAAATCAAAATGGATAATGATGATATTTATGTACAGTACAGTGTTTTGGTTTTACTGTCTTCTGAATCAATTTTGACAACACAACTAAGTGAGTTCGCTCACTTCTGTGTGTTTAGTATGATTTCATTTGTTAACTTTTTATTCTGTTAAGCGTGAGTTTTCTGTGCTGTCTTTGCTATCAATGTGTAACTTATTTCAAAACCTACAAAAGGTGTGTAATAAGTTTATGAAAATATCGTTTGCCTTTGAACTGCGAGCTTCAGAAATCTAGATAAACTGCGAGCTTCAGAAATCTAGAAAAATACCGACTTTCAATCGTTGCGCGTCTCAGTGCAGATGAGCTAAGGCGTGCTGTAGGGCATATCGAAGCAGGTGTTCCCATGGCGGATGTGGCAAAGATTTTTAACTGTAGCAGGGAAACCATCTACAATTTGCAGACCAGGTACATGAACACAGGAAGTACAAGAGACCAGCTAAAATCAGGGAGGCGGTGGGTTACCAACCCGGCTCAGGATCGGTATATCCGCACCACCCACCTGAGGGACGGGTTCCAGTCTGCTTCGCTTACAGCCAGAACCATCCCGCAACACCAACCAGTGAGCACACAGATGGTTATTCATCGGCTCCGGGAACAAGGCATAAGGCATGTTTATTTCTTTCTGCATACATTTAACTTGGTGCATATCATATACCTACATCTTAGCTTAAAAACATTAATGTGATTGACAACTTGAGCTGAGTGTGACTGAATGAGTGTCCCTTTCAAGAACGGGTGAGTTATAAAACTTCAAGTCTTATTAGTCCTACAACTCTCCATTGCCACTATCTTAACTATCCCCATCACCACGATCACACTCCGAAATCAAAATCATCACCATCATCTTCGTCTTTTTCTTCTTCAAATTGTTCTGATTATCATAACGGCATGCTTGTCTACATCCCAATTTTTATGTCTTATTTTGTCTTTAGGGCGAGAAGGCCAGTACAGCGAAACAAACTACCTCTCTATCACAGATAGGCTTGCTTGCTATGGACTAGCAGTCACGTAACGTGGACAAGACAGCAGTGGTCTCAGGTCCTTTTCATGGATGAGTCCAGACTTGTCTTAAGTCGTCACGATGGTGGAATGCGGGTATGTCATCGTCAGAATTAAAGGTTTGCTGACCAGTGTGTTCATGAAATCCCTAACCGGGGATATGTGCAGGTGATGGTCTAGGGCGGAATCACTACAGACCACAGGACAGCACTGGTACATGTTCCGGCAGCACTGAATGGCGCCAACAAAGTAGCCATCATGTTGCAGCCACATGTGGCACCGTTTATGCAGAACCATCCAGGCTACACTCCAGCCCATCATGCCAGGGTGACACAAGCTTATCTCGCACAACAACAATTCGGTTTCATCCATCCCTGGCCAGCTGTATCACCCGACATGAACCCAATTGAACATGTGTGGGATATTCTTGGGCGTTAAATCCAAGAGATGAATCCCGCTCCTCAACAACGCTCAGTTGATTCAAAGCCTAATCAATGCTTGGAACGCCATCCCACAACATCAAATTTCCAACATCGTCAACTCTATGAGGCGCAGATGCCGCACCGTCATTGCTGCAGGCGGCGGTCGCACACGATATGAATCCTGTCGAACTTTCAGACATTAGCTGAAATGCTTTTAATTTGACTAGTACCAGTGTACTTTGCTATCAGACGTTTCGAAAACCATAATTTAGGATTACAATGTCAATGTAAAGTTTCTTGTTGGAAAAATGCACTTTTTCTGATTTTTAAAATTTGGACCCTATCACTTCAGGTGGGGCTTCGAGCACCAGGTGTGTATTATGTGCATTAAAATACAGGTTTTCAAATTCAGAAATGCTTCTTCTTTTTAAATGTAAAATTTTGTCCCTGTGTCTGCAATGGTTTATTTTTTATTTAACACTGTTCTTTATGTCAAGTTTCTTTTGGAAATGAGTATACAATGTATAATATGGGTGTGCACATGCATATATGCCTGTGTGTGCATGTTTGTGTGTGTGTATGTGTGTGTACGTGGTGAAACACCAAACCAATGTGCCAGGATCCAGACAATATAGATACGTGTCTTATCTTATCTTAGCTGCCGCTGCTGCACATGATGAAGATTATAAATTTACATACTGAGACTTACATGGGGACAGTATTTTTGTTGTATTGAACTCATCTTCCATTTAATGTTGACGATGTATTAAGGCTTTAGGTGCATTATTAATAAATATAATCTTCAAATTCAAAATGATCACAAATGTTGTGTTTGTGAGACATGGAGGGGAGGGGGGGGGGTCCTTCCAGATTTTTTTTTTGGAAAATGTTTTACGGTGCTCACAACTGGAGAAGGTCATTTGAGCACTCAGGACACATGAGTATTTTCAGTTTGGTAGGAATTAATTTTGAATTTTGCTCAGGTGGCAGCAAAAGTATACTTGTGATTTTAGGATCACCAAGGGATATTTAACATGCGCAACTTTTTCACCCTTATACGAGAAGGCTAGGTGTTAGATCTTACCTACCCTAAGATCAGGGGTGAGGCTGAAAGACAGCAGTGAGAAGGAGCCATGAAGTAACAGTAGTAGATAGGTAACCGAAAGATTCAGGACTCAGGAGCCCAGAGGAGGGGGCAAAGGGTAGGGATGGAGGGGGCAGCAAGTTGAGACGACAGCAGGCGACAGAACATGGTTAAAGAGCAGGAAAGGAGGTGAAAGGAGAAATATTTCTATATAGAGAAGAAAATCTTCCGTTACTGTCAGGTTTTCATCTTGTGACCTATTGAATGAGATGTGAACACTGTACCTCAAATTTAGACCACAGGAGCCCCCCCCCCCCCCCCCCCCCAAACTTCAGTGAAGTGAATGAGGATCAATGCAAAAAAGTGGCGATAGACAAATGGGCTAAAATGGGTGATGGAGCATTCTCGCCTTATATGCTTTGTATGTTGTTTACGTAATGTGTGCAGTCGTCAGTCTCCCAGGTTCTTCATTGTTTTACTCATTGCGCTTGGATGTGCATATACTTATTTTCATTTTGATTTTATTCTTCTACATGACTCTCTATTCTAAGAATGAAGTTTATGATTGTGTATCGTGTATTTTAGTGTTAATCAAAAGTGTAGTTTTATTTCCTCCTGACCGTGAAAAGGTTTTCCGCTGGAATACACATATGTGAGCGACATGAGAAGAAAGTATTGCATGTGGGGCTGTTAAAGTGGTTATGCTAGCCAAAAGGAAGACAGCCAATATGAGTGGTTGGCGTGCGCTCTGGTGTGGTTTGCTCCTTCTTTCCTGTCAAACGCCTGTCATCGGTATCTTTTTGTCTTTAGCCCTCATACTGTTACTTTATCATAACACCTCTAATTTTCGGCTCTTATGATGTTTGTTTTAGTAAGGTTTTACGACGCTCGCAACTGCATAAGGTCACATGAGCGCTTACATATATATGTATATCTTATCTGAGTCACAGGTGCATTAGAGCTCTTACTAAAGCAAAGATTTTCCACAGATTCAGAGCAAAAACTGCAGTATGTCAAAAATATCCAAAATGAATTCATCTACCACCGTCAGAAAAATTCACTGGTATGGGAATGTGCTCTCTACATTTCCCGCATGATGTATCATGTACCTCTGGCACGGTTTAGGGTGCCCTATGAAACTCTGTCAGAGCCCCCATCCATATTTTGTATTTTTCATATTGACGTGGTCACAACAAAGAGTGTGCTGATGCCAATAGCTAATATGTTGTATATATTCATGAAGAGATTTTTTTAACCAAACATCTCAAAGAGCAAAGGACATGTGAAGAGAAAAACTACAAAGCTGTCATCATGATGTCCAAATGCATTAGTAACTTTAATAGAGATAACAGACTGCTTTCTTTATCAACAGCTGATTGGAATCAATTAATATTCCTAACTAAGAGTTAGACATTGGTAATTGGAGAATGATGTCTCTTGTCTCAATGTGATCTCATTGTCTGTTTAATAATTATTGTATTATCGGGTAAATGTGAATGTAATCCTTTTTTGTTGTTTACAAATTAATATGCTCTGTCACTGATGTGATATTCCTTTGTTATAAGAGTGGATAAACCCTTAAAAGAAATGCAAAAATAGCAAAAATGGATTGAATCTAAGATTCATTGTCAGCCAGCATAGTGATCACTATGTGAGAATGCTCCATCACTCCTTTTAGCATATTATTTGTCTTGCCACTTTTCATGTTTATCCTCATTCACCTCACTGAATGTGATGGGCCTTCAATGCAGCAGCTAGCTATGCAGGTTATGTGGCCTGATCTAAGAAAGCCTAGGTCTGTGGATTTGGGGACGTCTCGGATGCTTTCATGTCAGGTTTGGGAAGTTGTCCTCGACTTTCAACCTCTCCCCATTTAGTATGATTGATTGAAGTATTTCCACACCCTGAATGAGTAGTACCTCAGTTTTCTTGATACTGATTGTCAGACCAGACTCTGGGCATGCTTTGCAAATGTGTGCATGAGATATTGTAGCCATTTATCTAAGTTGGTAACAAATTCAGCATCATCTGCGAAGGGCATGTTCCATATTACACTCTTGCACATATTTTTTGCCTTCAGTCTAGACAGATTGAACAGTGCTCCCTCAGACCCGGTGTGGGGGGATAGATGACTTCAGTGAGGTCTGTAAAAAAGCAACAAAGATTTGGGGGGGGAGGAAGGATATGTCTTTGTTTCTGCACCAGCTGTAAGTAAAGGATCATACATCTGGTCTTATGCCGCACTAATTAGTAAGACTAAAGAGTGTAAATATATTGTTCTTTCTGTGAGTTTCTGCAGTCTGTTCAGGACGTGAAGCGCATAATATTTTGCAACCACACTCAAGAGAGAAATCCCGATCCCTATCTAGTTGTTCAGTCACTCCTGTCTTCCTTGTTCTGACAAAGAGTAATAACATTGCTTTTCTTCAATTCAGGTACTCATCCCTCTTTCTAGTTTTGACACAGTGGATCCTGAAGATGTTTTGGGAGGGCTCCCTTCACTCTGTTGATGACTTCAACTGGTATTCCTTTCATGCCAGGAACTTTCTTTCAGTAGACTCTGCATATTGCTTCTTTCAACTGGTACATCATTGGATTTTCCTCCAGCTCTGGCATACGGTAGACTCCCAGTAGCCATCTGGGCAGTGTCGATTACTTTGTTCTCTCCTGAGAACAACTCACATAGAATTCCACTCCCATCTGAACATCTCTTCAGCCATATCCTGTATCATTTTCCTATTTCAGTTCTTCATTGAGGAAGTTTTTTTGGCATTGATCCCACAGCCTTTTTGATTTCCTCACGGACCTCCCTGATCTTTACTGTGTCTGATTTGCCTATCAGGTTGGATTTATCCACAGCAGTATGACAGCAAACTGTACTACCCGTGTCTGACATTACAATTACACTTTTATATCATATTGCTCCTTTGTGTTGGTCTCCCCAGTTTAACTTTGTTCTTATAAACGAACATAGATTGCAAAATTACATTTTATTGTATATTGATTTGCTGAATCACTAATTTACTTACATTCAATTTAATCTTTTTTTTTCACTTTCCAGGATTTCAGTCTGTGGAAGATGCAAAGAAGTCAAGTGACTTTATTGATTGAAGAATTTCTGAATCATGTAATCAATCTGGAGGATCGTCCATTTTCTAAACCAAAAGAGATTTCAGAGAAAATGTGGACAGCATTTATGGAAATGGTACCAGCAGAGTTAGATTCCTTGTTGAGAAGTGGTCATGAACTGGTATTGTTGATTGATGACAACATGTACCTTCACAGCATGCGGCATGAGTATTTCAAGATGGCAAGGAAATGTAAGTGATACCCTGCATATTGTAACCCTTTGAGCCTGTAAAATTGCCTGTATTCCCAGCCACCGGAACAGTGGTGAGCGAGACCCTATCACTAACCTGGCCTCTCTGGAACAAAATGCGCACAGAAAACAGTGTTTACCACACTGGACATTACTGATTATTTTTATACTCAATCACTTGTCAAAGAAATAGTTAAGTATGACTTAAAGTATCATTTTTATGCTGATGATACCCAAATTTATGGTTCAGCAATTTTTATCAGTTTAGATGAACTAGTCCATCGTGCTGAAAATTGTATTGCCTCAGTGGGAAACCGGATGAATAAAAACAAATTGGTGTTGAATGATGATAAAACTAATGTCATTCTGGCAGGCAGTGCAAAGTCTGGTAATAAGGTTGACCACGATCACATGACAATTGGTGATGCAGAAATAGCATTTTCAAGAAAATTTTAAAATTTTGGCATCTATTTTGATTCCAGTTTGTCAATGTCGGCTGAGGTAAATCATCTGATCCGCTGCATGTATTTAGAAATAAGATAAATTAGTAAAATATGTCATCTAATCAATATCATCTGTTTACTAGTAACTAGCTTAGTTTTATCAAGACTCGAATATTGTAACTCCTTGTTATCAGGAATATCACTGGAGGAAGTTAAGACTGTCTAAAACAATGCTGCAGGTTTAGTTTTACAGAAAAGCAAGTGATAATCTGCTACACCTTTTTATGGACATTGCATTGGCTTCCTGTTTAGAAAAGAATAGTGTACAAGTTGGCCTCCCTATGTCACAGATGCTTGAATGATAATGCGCCATCATACAAATCTGTAAAGACTGTACATTCCAACTCGCAGTTTAAGGTCATCAGCTGACAAAAAGAAATTTCTTTTTCCATTTGTGAAACTTACAACAATGGGTGAAAGGGTATTTGAATATCAAGGCCCCAAGATCTGGAATGCTTTGCCAAGTACTTTTAGAGAGATCAAATCTTTTGATTCATTCAAATGTCAGCTGAAGTCGTAAAAAAAAATTAATTAATAAGATGAATATTTGGAGTGATTTTCTTTTAGTCAAAACACAACATTTTATGTTACTGTTGTACATTGTACATGTACTGTATTGTAAAGCGCTCAGAGCCTGTGTGTTTTAATCGGGGTTGAGCGCTATATAAATATCATTTATTATTATTATCAAGATCTTTCTGGATAAGATGCTGACTGGTAATGATGGGGACTACCCTGAATGGGATACGGAATGTGATATCATATGAATGTTAGCAATATATCGCTCAGGAGCTCGGGCAGAGGGGCACGGTAGCCTCAGGAGGTCAGGGCTAAGGGTTAAAGCTGAAACATATTTTGGTTTTGTAAATGTTTGTTGCCCACATTTTTTTTTTACAGTTTGAATGAAAGCTATTGAGACAAATACAATACACTATGTGAATGGAAGAAAAGTTTTAACAGAAAATAGTCAAACAACTCAACATTTTTGTTTTTATCAGGTTTTCAAAACAAATGAGATATTTAATTAAAAATAAAAATAGATCTCCTTATTTTGGCTTGATTTTCTTTATTTTGTATCAACACTTATTATTTGCCTGACTTTTATGTCTGAAGCAAGCCAAGAGTGAATGATATCATGTTTACTCATTTCAGTCAGCGCTGGATTTTGTGAGATATTCATGGAATCTGATGTGTCTGAAGCCTTAAGGAGGAATAAAACGAGGAGTGTGGAACATGTGCCTGAGGAAACGATAATCAAAATGGCTGCTAAACTGGAACCTCCAGATAGACATAAATTTTCCTGGGAAGATCACATCTTGGTGGCTCATGCCTGTTCACAATTCGAAATGTAAGTTGGTAAACTTTGTACAACTGAATTTTTTTTTTAAAATCACTTGGTAAAAGATGTACTTTATTAGTAATTTATTCCCTGTATGGTAAGCCCTACTGCTTTAGACTTAAAGAAATAACCCCCCGGGGCGGTGCTACGGCTATTTCCAAAGGGGCGACATTGACCATGCTCTTATGCACAGTAGAATTGTAATTGTAAATGGGCTGTTTCATCAATGTCAAGCTCATTACTGTCCCTGAACTGCAACAGGGAACTGCTGCCTTTTCTTTCCCAATTCTTACTATCGTCATTTTTTTCTCTACTTCTTTTGTATGTTTGTCACACTCTTGTGGCCCGCTATTTCCGGGATGCCTTGATAGCGGAAGCAGACTTTGTGCTGTTGAAGCTGGAGAGGTGAGCAGAGTAAGCTTGATTCCCTGTAAGGACTTCTCTATTGACATCGACCCTTTGGCGATCATATGACCTTATGCAGTTGTGAGCGCCATAAAAACTCTACTAAAACGAAGACTTAAAGAAACCTGTGCACCTAAGATGAAACATATAAAAAGTCTTTTGTATTGTGTTTCTTGAATAAAGTCTTTTACCTTACTGTTGTTTGTCTTGAGACATACATTTACATACATAACTTATCCAAGGCTAGCAGAGAGTTACTGAAGGACTGAAAAACACTGATGTCTTTAAACTTTAAACGTAGATGCTGTACTGATTATTGAACCAACCCTTGTAAAAACAGCTCAAAGTATGAATCTTTTTGTTTCAAGTTGTTTGCATTTATCTTCACAACAAGTTGTTTTACAATATTCTTGTTCACTGTTCACCCTTACAATGTCACTGAAATACGTAAAAACCACTTTGTGATATTTGTAGGTTCATGTTTGTACGTGTGCGGGGAGAGTGGAGAGAGAGAGAGAGAGAGAGAGAGAGAGAGAGAGAGAGAGAGAGAGAGAGAGAGAGAGAGAGAGAGAGAGAGAGAGAGAGAGAGAGAGAGAGAGAGAGAGAGAGAGAGAGAGAGAGAGAGGGGGGGGGGAGAGAGGGGGGAGAGAGAGAGAGAGAGAGGGGGGGGGAGAGGGGGGAGAGAGAGAGAGAGAAAGAGAGAGAGAGAGAGAGAGAGAGAAGTGTTGTTGAATTCTCATATTGGGATACTATGCACACTATCCTCTTTAAGTTTGACTTTTGTTTGGGTTAAAGTTAAAGGGACACTTGTCTGTGTTGTAATGGCCATATTGAGCAAGGAAAAGCCAATAAAGTAATTACAAATAACAGAAGCAAGTAGGATCTAAATGCTGTGCCCTTCCATACTGTTTTTCATTTTATCTATGATCTGATTTTATATCATCTGATCTTTTTGAACGTGTAAAATAAGTGAAAAATTTGTGTGCTGTGCCTCCTATGAAATTGATGTGTAAGTACACAATGTCGTAGTGAAAGCAAAATGTTATACTCTGTCTTTTTATCTATCATGTCCTTCCTCTTTGAACAGCCATGGTGTCCTTCTTTTTATATATTATGTTACTTAGAGAGTTCATCTTTTCTACCACTTTTTGAAATTTCATAGTATTCCATGATTTGTATGTTGCAGAGAACCTGTGGTTCAACTCATTGAAAAGTCCATAGCTGACCCTGTGCAGCGACTGTCTGAATCAGATGAAGAAGAAAAGGCCACCAGTCGCTATGAGTGTTCTGTCAGCACTTTACATCAAATTGACCTAATTCTAAGGAAATGTGTCACTGACCTCATGGTCACCAGTAAGTGTTTGACTAATGCTCTTACCATAAAGTGGGATAGATATTGGTCCAGCTAAATAGGTTAGCATGATCATGTTGAAGTGGAAAACTGAACTGGTACCGTTTCAAAAGGAATTTGATCTCATAGAACAGGCTGTAGTATACAATGTAACATGTGTTATCTGCCATTCCTTGTGTCCTACATCAACAGATTGACACTGTTACTGCATTTTGTCAAATGAGAGAGGGAAAAGACTTTTACCAGAAGCTCCTTTGAGGAAGAAAATAATGATTCTGGTGTTCAAGGAGTCCTGTGAATATTATTATTATTATTTAGGTCAGAATAAACATACTCAATTTTTCTACTAATGAAATTTAATCTTTTGACTTGAAAATTGTGCTTGATTGATTCAGGAACAGGACATGTTCTTCTGCAGAAAATCAATGTAGGTCATCTGCCTTTAGCTTCAGTAAAACCCTGATAACACAAACTGCATGGGACTAGAGAATTTTTTCATGCTAAGCAGAGAGCAAAAAAGGGGAGCCAACTCCTTCTTACTGTTCAGGTCAAATGATACGCGTTGTATAACCTATTTTTTAAGTCATTAATAGCACACGCAGAACTGCCAACTTTGGATATTTAAAAAACAAAAAACTATCTTTAACCTCAGACAGATGTATTGATCACACAGTAGTGTCAAAGGAGGCTGTAACTGTTTACTTGACGGTTTTCCACGCTACCACTCGGTTATGAACAAAATTAGCATAATGAAACCTGGAACTGATAAATTAAAAGCTGCGCATCTTAAAATTAATCAGAAAATTTGAAAGATGGGGATTGTTGGCAGCTTCCCTGTGTCTCATCTCCCTGTCCAGTGAAACAAAGCCAGTTTCTCACCCACTGCTTGCGGGTAATGGGAAAGAAAATTTGATTGGGAGGGGTTAACTGTGTGGTGATGTGTGTTGAAAGCGATAAGCTATTGTGAATGAAGAATAAAAGGAATAGAGGAGAGTCAGCCGGAAGAATTGATAAAACAGTCCAAAATTTATTTGTGTTCATCGGTCACCACTTCTGTCTGAATTTTGGGTCATGTGAAGGGAAATTACTATATATATGTGAGGCAACATGGTGAAATCAGGAGCTCGTCAAAATAATGAAACTGAAGTAACTGGCATTTTCCCGCTGGTTTGGGAATTTTTATTGAATTTTTATTTGAACACCTTTCATGTCCATTAAAGAACACAGTCCTGTGTGGATAGCATTGAAAAGCGTTGATTAAAAGGACAAAAAGTGTAAATTTTCTGTTTCCACGGACTCTCAAGCTAAGGAATTTACTTACTTGGTTACTTACTTGGTTACTTACTTGGTTACTTACTTGGTTGGAGAATAGGCATTATTGCAGGTGGCGCACTGCCACAGCTGCTCCTCCCTCCTCTCCAGGATCCATGAGAGGGTCTGCCTGCTGAACGGGTCTGCCAGACCATTAACTAATGGACATTTGGTGAAGATTATTGTGTGTACACTTGTTATAATGGATTTTGATGATGAGAAGCTAAGGAAATAACTAAATTTTGGCGACCATTTTCCACTAATTGTACCTCTGAAACCTGGTGACCCCTACCTCCTCCAATCGGAAATATCTTGACTTGTATTCAGATAACTGGATGTTTGTTTCATCAAAAGCATGACAAATAAACAACCTTTAAGATGATACTATTAACTCTACGTGCCCCAAATTGATGAGAGCCTGATTCCATGACATTGTGACACATATATAGAATGAAGACAGGAGAAAACAGATTTGAAGTCATTTCATATCAACAAGAATTTTACCTTAAATGGATTTGTGTTGAGCAAAGTCTACTGTACTTTTTTTGCATGTGTTTCCTTTTTAATTGTATGCTCAAATGATATATGCTCTTTTGTTAGTTTTTTGCCTCTTTTTTTGTTATCTTGACCTCTCATATCGATTTATTTTAGAATAAGGGTATTGTCTACAGATGCTGCTACAAATGATTGTCCAACTTTTGGTTTGTTGGTTGGCTGTTCAAATAGGAGGGCTTGACTTCTTATGAGCCCACCTTGTCCTGGAACTGTCTTGTATAATACAAAGATTGTCAGCCAGACCGTGAACTTATGGACATTTGGTGGAGATTATTGCGTGTACACTTGTTATAATGTTTGGTGATGAGAAGCTGCTGTGTCACTTTCTCACCTTCTTTTCAATCTGATGAGGGGGTTGTATTTTTTTTTTAAATCCTCATAGTAACCACACTCACCCATCAGGCTTCATTTTGGTACTTGAAAGTGAAATCCAATGTGTACATCACACCGCGTGGATTTGCATATTTTTTTATGAAGTTGAATTAAAATTGGGTTTGTTTAAGTCTTTGTTCTTCATATGACAGTGTCTGACATTCTCACAAATGCAGCAGTCTGTTGGAGCTTATCTGTGAGGTACACAGACTCTGGCCTTGTGACTGCTTTGTTTCAGTCTTGTGCTGGACTTTCTTCAAGACGGTGTTCTGTGGTTATGTGCGGCATGTTGCATGGACATATCTCTTTAACTGGCCTATCTTTAGCTTTAGCTTCCTGACTTCCCGTACACACATGCATTCAGCCTGTTGTATCTGCCCTGAGTAAAAACAATCCTTTTCCCATCCGTTGAGGTGGCAGAAACAGTCATTTTGGTTATGGTTAGAATGAAGTGAATGGAAGAGTTTCCATCATTTGGGCCAAACATGGCTACTGCCGTGCATCATATTTTGTAAAGAAAACTGCAGAATGTAAGGAGAAGCCTACATTAGTCTACCATACCAGAGAGATAGGTTTTAAAAAGATTGTAACTAAAGATATCCAAGTGTATGCTGGTAAATGTTGAAATGCATTATATTCTGATGTTGTATTTAGTGTTTTTCATTTTCATTTAGAGGGGGAAATCAGACGGCCATCATAACATAATTTAAACACATTATCTCTTTCTGATGCTACTGATGAATATTCCAGGGTCTTAACAGTTAAGTCTCACAGCTTATTGTTTTTTTTCTTTCTTTCTTTCAGGTCGAAATCGTCAGCTACCAGCAAATGAGTTAAAAGAGCTTGGTAAAAAAGCATCTAAAGTGAAGGAAAAAATCATTCAAGAATTTAAAAGAAACAACCAAGAATTTCTAGCTGCAATCAGTGAGTTTAACATTCAAGATGCAGCAAAAGATTCTCAAAGCAATTTGTCCAAATTCATGTATGAACTTTTTCATTCGGAACTGAGCTGACACTGAATGTTTGATTTTAAGAAGTGACACAATGCTTGCACAAGGACGATTAATTCCATCAATATCCTGTGTTCCCTCAAATAAAGATATCAATAACAAGTAAAAGACCTATGCTTCTGATGTACAACAAAAAAAGATATGGAAGGTCATGTTTCCATCTTCACTGATTTCCTACCATCTTATTCACCTTGTATAGTCTACAAGTATTTTTATGTTACAGTATGTACAATCAGAATACCATCGGATTACTATCAGAATGCTTATTATGTATCTCTAGCTTAAATATTTTTATTTTTGATATGTGTGTGACTGTGTATGTTTGTGAATGGAAGCATATATTATGTGTGTGGAAAAGAAGATATATGATAGGGAGTGTGTATATGAGTGCGTGTGTGTATGTGTGTGTGTGTGTGTGCGTGTAATGTGTGATGTGTGTGCGCACGTGCGTGCGTGTGTATGCGTGTGTATGCGTGTGTATTGTGAATCACCAAACCAATGTTCCAGCATCTGGGCAATAAAGATAAATATCTTTTGCCTTATCTGTAATAGCTTGTCAAGAAGTTATAGCCAGTCTCAACATAATCAGACTCTGCTTCTTGTAAGTTGCCCCGAACTATAACTATTACAAGATCTGCAGACCATGTTCACCTTCATGGTAGCTGAAGAGACCTATAACAGACAGGCTCAATTATCAGCAGAAGCCACCTGAGTGTAAAGCCGGCAACCACAATTTTTTTTAAAGGAGTGAATGAAACATTATAACCAATTTTTGTGATGTTGAACTTTTACCAAATGTTACGTTCTTTCTCATATTTTATAATGAACTTTACATTGTGAAAAGATGCAATAATGAACCTGTTGTTTGGTGCTGACATCATGTTAAAACATAATGAATGCTGCAATGTTACTTTTATTCTTTTAAAACCCTGTTGGACATATGATACAATAAATTGTGACAGAAAAGTATATAGCCCGGATCTTTCTAACTTTGGCTGTAGAAGCATCTTGTAGTCTGAGTACTCTGAGTGGGTTTTTTTGTCTCTTTGCTCTGTCTTAACATTAACTCAATGGAGATGGCCTTGATTCCCTTCTTAGTGAAGGCACACAGCATTTGTGACGATAAGTATTCTGTTGTCAGTCAGAATGAACGTGCAAGAAAACAATTGTGCAGTTCCCTTTTTCACCATTTAAATATAAGTAGAAATTTTATGCTTCCTATCGATACAATTTAGACCATTCAGGAGGTGGGCTGCTTCAACCCTGCCTGTCAGGACCAACCTGGGCTGAGAGGAATACAATATTCCTGCTGAAAGATGGAGATACTCGATCAAATTCTCTCTTCACTAGATCTGAACCCAGATTTTCTTTGTGCAATAGCAAAGCGGTCAGTTGCACCCCGAGCAGTGAAACTGATGAATCTTCTTATTTGCATTTCCTGGCTACATCTCAGGGGTGGCCAACTGCTGAATTTTGTCAGGGTGGCGGTCAAAACTTACTCTTGTCAATTTTAGGACCACCAAGGATCTTTAACATGCACAACTTGCAAATAAGATCTCCGAGATTTTTCGCCCTTATCCGATAAGGGTAGACATGGGATTTTACCTACCCAAATATCAGGTATGTGGCAGAAAGACAGCAATAAGATATAAGAAGCAGTTAGGAGTAACAGTAGAAAGAGTCAGGAGTAAAGGAGAGAGGAGTCCAAAAGAGAATGGGGTGGGGAAGAAAGTGGAGATGAAAGCAGATGGCAGAACATGACCAGAGAACGGGAAAAGAGGTAAAAGGAGAACATTTTAGAGATTAAAATTTTTCATCACTATCAGGTTTTGAACCTGAGACCTATTTAATGAGAGGCGAACACCATACCTCTAGACCACGAGAGCCCCCAGATTGATCAATGAAATTTAGAAGAAGAAAGCTGTTAGTCTCTATTGCACCAATACCTTGTATTACTTCCACCTGGCTTTATGAGCAGTAAGACAGAAAAATTAATCTGTACTGGCTCCAGTTTTCCTATTGCCACGTACTCCATCACTGTACTACTCTACATGTTCACGTGAATGATTTAAAAAATAATGGCATAGATTCTATTTTATGTAGTAATGTAGCAGCATGTGAGCTTTTGCCTTGTACCCCGGAGCCATTCAGTGAATTCCACAAGTCTGTGGGGTAAATGTAGAGAACTTTCAAACATATCACAGCTGGAATGAGTGACTCCAGTGTCTCTTTTTACTTTCACAGGCCAGTTAACTTCAGTCAAAGAATGTATTTCTTGTGACAGTGATCAGTGCTGGGAAAACGCAAGACATACAGTAAACGGAAATTAAAGGAAAAAAGTGAATAAGTAGGACCTACCAGTGATGTCCTCCAACCACCCACTATTATAACAAAAAAATATTAACTTCAAGAGTAACTATGCAACTCCTGGATTTGTTTTATTATGATTTATTCATTTCAGTCATTAATATCTATGCATAACACATTATTCACAAGCTAAATCTCCATTCTATGATACAGTCACAAACTGACCTAAGGAACTGAAAGAAATAGCAGCGATAGAGACAAAATTTCAGTGACTGGAAAGATATGTTATCCTGCTCAGAACGAAGGAAAAGTTCAATCACCAGTCCCAAATTCATAATCCAGTCACCTAATAATTTTTTTAAAAAGGTGATCCTGTGGAAATAAATATGAATAACTTTCCAGGAAAACATTTTAAAAACATCCTCGTCTGCACCTACCATAAAGTAAAAAGGTAAACTGCAGAAATTAAGAGCCTTAAAATAATACAGTGGAACTCGGATTCAACGAGCTCGGATTCAACGAGAGGAGATGGATTCCCCGTTTTTTCTTTCTATAAAATCAATAAAAATAACCCGGGTTCAACGAGTACTTAAATCAGCAAGCTTGGATTCAACGAGGTCGCTTCCAGGATGAACACCCTCCGCAGACGTGGCTTCGCTCATTTTTCTCCCACAACGAACTTTATTTATCTCTTCCCGTAAACCATCCATTGCACCTGCATCGTGAACTATTATTCACTTAGCCGATCGCATGTGACCAATCAGCGGTCTTCTTTCATACTAACACATGTGTTGTTGGCACGCGCACTTGTCTACTCTAGTGTGTGTCGGGGTCGGATGGGCGGCCTGCACACGTGTGACTATGTGTGTGTGTGTGGGGGGGTGGGGGGGGCATCATCGGTCCGGGCGAGGATCGTTGCAGATACAAACGCGTCACTGTCTTTTTTCCCCTCCAGCAACTGATCAATATAATATTACAATAAGCTAGCCATGACGTAGATCTATGTAATGAATTGTGCGCTGGTCTATGGAATCAAATTTAAAAGTTGCCGTACACTAGACTCTACACAGCAACACATCTTTTTGGCAAACAATCGAGATGACACAGGCGTGCATTTGAACTAATTGTTTTTTTTTCTGCACAGCTCCTAATATGTAGGCATTTCAGGCAGTACTTGTGACTTCTGTTTATACATTACTTGCTCAGTGCCTGTAATTATCTACACAAAACCTCGTGTTTGCTTTAACAAACACTCGGATTCAACGAGATTTTTGGTCAGGCCCGGCGACCTCGTTGAATCCGAGTTCCACTGTATATAGACAAAAATATAACAAGAAAAAATACAAATGCAGGTAATGTCAACCTAACAATTTATCGTTACTGATCAAAATGTGACACCAGGCAGAAAATATCAGCCTTAACATTCAAATCAAGTGTAATTGACTCACAAAAATGTTGTAGCATGAAAAAGAAATATATTCACTCTCGTGACCCCTGGTTAATACCTTACATTTTTACCACAACATACATTAAATAGAAAAAAGAACAATTTGACAAACATTGTCTCTTCCACACAGGTCAACATTATTTTTTTGCTGTCACTCACATACCACACACCAAAGCAGGGCCATATCCAGGAGTGTGTAAACTGATCAAAAGTAAGCAGAGGAATAGCAAAAAAAAAGTTACCTCCATCATAACAACATTAATTAAAGTAAAGAAGAAATCCGATTTGGCTTTTAAATCGAAATATAAGAACTGAACCTTCCATTTTACTGGAAGTGTTAACCCAATAGTTAGTCAACTGTTAACATAATTACAATACATACATTTGAACCAAAATATAGAGGTGAAAGTCACTGGCCATAACAGAACATACACAACAGCAATTCAATAATAAAGTGAGAAAATTAAGGAAAAGTCGGACGTCAAAGGGAGAGAAGTGATCTGAGACACTGATGATCACAAGGCTGCACCAAAAAAAAAACTTTAAAAATTTGAATGAACCACTACTTTTGATGAGCTGCGTTTAAGGGTACACTTAACCCTTACAGTGGCAATAAAACAGCTGGGAACTCTTGAAATTGTGCAGTCACACCACTTGGACTTCTCCTCTATAGAGGCCATGCATTTGCTTCAGATCTATTGTTTTCATTTTAAATAAAAAGGTTGAAATTGAAGGGTGCTTTGGGCTGGCTAACGTGGTGTACATCTGCATAGACAGGCCAAATCAATGTAAACCGATCTATTGACTTTAGATTAGCTGTAGAATCAAGTTGAAAGTGACACTTCACCAAAGTTCATTAACGCTGGCTCTTGTGAATTACATCAGCTTTACAATGTTTTTAAGAGCTGCTGTGAATGCCACAAAATGGGATGGTCATCAAATTCTGATTTCTCACTTCATCATACTTTGGCCAATCTTAGTTACGAGCTGCGCTCGAGTGAGAGCTGTAAACTCTTCATCGCAGGATGTCTGATAAGCTGGGGAAACTGGGGTAACTCAGGAGCATTAGAACTGGGCCTGACCACCTGGTCGTGGATCCGTATTAAAGTCAAAAGAACAACACATTAGGTAATACTCATCTAGAAATTTCCAGATCAAAATCTCCTCTACACACAAGATAAAATCTCATTCTAGCTCTTGCAGTTAGTGAAAGCTTTGTGTTTCTTTGACAAATAGCGTTTGTGTTCTAACACTTCAAATTTTAGGTCGATATTCACAAGCTATGAGCGACATACTTCTCTCAGTGAACTTTGCAGAACTTGTGGGAACAAAATCACAACATTAAAAAGAAGTAAAGACAAAAAACCCTGAAAGTTATGTGCTTAGTTTGAGGGTGATGTTTTCTTTGTGTATGGAATTGATATTAGTCAAGACATCATTGATACCCATTTAAGGTACATTTGTCTCAAGTGTGTGGTTGCTATCGGATAAAAAAGAGACAGAGCTTAAAAACCATGAAACTGCACAAAAAAAGGTTTGCCATAGTCGACACATTTGGTGCTTATTTGACTCAAGTGTTGACCAGTGCAAGTTTTGCCAACATAGGGCTGCTTTGGCAGGAGCTAGGCTGCACAAACTACCGTGTTTTTCCTCCACGTCTCCTATATTGAGAAATTCAGAAAAAAACAAAATACAACTAGCGAACAAGACAGCTCCACATCTCTTGCGTTAAAAGCGACTGAAACAATGTGAGAAATGCTGCTAAGAAAACCAAAACACCAGCCACGAAATGCAAAAAAAGAAGCAGTTATATCCAGCCTCTTCAAAAGAAAATTATTCATATGCACAGATCCTCCAAGAATTGTGAAGTTGGAAACTGGGGGACTGGGACAACCTCTTTCTGTGAAACCAGTAATAAATAAATCTATGAAAAACTTTATCAGAGGCTAGGACACGCACAAAGAAAAAAAAACAAGCTCAGTTAATGAAAGGTTTGAGACGACGTATGACTGGCCAGTCGAAAGATACAGACGATACACAGTTTGATTCAAAGTCAAAGTAATATCATTAACTCAAAGACAAGAAATATAGACGGCTTGAAAAATAAAGTGAAAATTTCCCGAGAACAAGCACTAGCTACTGTAAAAGTTACCGACAAGGACGGGTTCAAGGGAAGATGTTAGAAGTTAGAAATTATGGGGATACAGTTCGACAACGAAAGTTCAGTAAGGGCACTGTCACAGGGATATTGTCACAAGTTTTATCAAAGTTGTAATAATAATAATAATAATAATTAGCATTTGTATAGTGCATGTCCCCACTCGAAAGAATGTGCTTTAAACTATATTATTACCCTAGCAGACCATCGAACACTCAGAAACATTCCCAGGAAGCATACATCATACAGTGCAAGCAGCTGGTTAAGCGCTCAACAAACACTAACAAACTGACCAGATCTGTCACTGTCTATAGCTGGGAATCCATTTTCACCTGGGTGAAGTGGGGAAATTTCGTGCAAAGTGCCTTTTCCACGGACACAACGTCGGGCCTGTGGCTCGAACCCCCAAACCCGCAACCTCACGATTACGAGTCCAGTAGCTTAACCACTAAGTAGAGGAAAGATCATTCACAACTGATGAAAAAGAACACACAGTAACATAAGGTAAAGTGGACAATTTAACTTTCTATGAGTTTTCTCAATGCATACTCAAAAGTGGACATGCTCACATTACATGGATTTCAGGAGATATTCCTAAAGATGAGGTTTGGGTAAAGACAGTGGGAGATCATGTAAAAAATTTGTTTCAGCTGACACTTCAAACAGTGAACATTGCTAAACCAAATGCTAAGCACAACACAGCAGTTATCGCCATAGCAGATCAAAGACAGCCGTGAAAACTTGGTCAAATTTCTAGAAAACGGTTTCAGTGATGAAATTGCTGCTCTTGCATCTCATTCGTGGAGAGGAAAAGAAAGTTGAAAGTTTTTATAAACGGAGACTTCTTTTGCAAACTGTATGGCCTCTCAGGTCCTCTAGGCACATTTCTATGTCTATGGTGTTTAATACCGAAGTCCAGAATACAGACACAATGTGAGGCTTTTCCACAGACTTGCCATGTGTTGAGTGACAGTGATGAGGACAAAGCAAAGTAAAAGAAAGAAGTGCATGAGCTAAAACAATTGTAGTCTCCAATTTCTTACGTGCCTCTCGAGCCATGCGCAGGGCCGATAGCATCAAGTCTAGATGAAACTCTGAGACAAAACAGAATCACACCTCAAGCATACCACAGTCAGTCCTTTGATTTGATAGTAACCACTGTCATAAGTACCAAGAATCAAACGTTTTCAGACAACAGCTGCTGGTCGATTAAAGAAAGTCATTTACAAGAAATAACTGAATCAACTCAGACCATCTGAATAACAACACCATTGATGAGTTTGAACATTTTCTCGGGGCTGTGGTGTCTTATCCATCTCATAAGAACTTTAGCAAAGAAAAGATAGTCAACTGGACCAACTCTTCCACGCATGGAAACCCAAAGTTCAAACTATCATGGACAGTTGTCAGAACTCTCCTTCTGCTTTCACATGGGCAGGCTGGAGTTGAAAGAGGTGTTTTCTACCACCAAAGACTGCTCAGATTTCAACCTTTCTGGTGAGTACCTTGTTGCTAGACGCCTGGCAAATGATTATCTTTGGAGAATTGGAGGGTTAAAGAATATGAAAAGTTTCAATGAGTTATAAGATCTCTCCAAGTAATTGTTTGTTTTAATGTAAGCGTTTTATTACTCCCAATGACACAATTTTGATCATTTAGGGAGCGAGCATCTGACCCTGCCTGTCAGGGCTAACCACGGCTGAGAGGGATACAACATCCCAGCAGAAAGACAGAGATACTCATCAATAATTTTTCACCACTCAGGAAGGAAACTTGAGTCTTCTGGGGTCACCTGCAAAGTGCTTAACCGCCACACCACAGGTGCAGGTGACCTCTGCCAAAGGGGCCCACCAAAAAGATGTGACATCATGGGGTGAAAAAAGCTGAGGAACTGAAAAAGGCATCTTCCTTGATATGGAAAACTACAGAAGACGAAATCTGCTCCATGAAGAAATGCTTCCGTCAGCTTGAGGCAGATCATGCAGACCTGGTCAAAGCTGCTGACATAGCAACTGAGGATGCAGAATGCCAAACCAATGTTTCTTTGATATCATAAACTAATTGTTTCAAAGAAAGGGCCAGGGACAAAACAGAGGAAATGAATGTTCTGGAGAAGTAGGCTAAATTAAGGAAAAGGAGAAAGTACTGCCAAGCATTGTCTGATTCCTTGCTCATCAACAACACTACTACTAGCCGCAAGAAGTGAAAAAGTGTTGACTAACCCCAGCATGAATAAAATATATTTGATAAATAATGCTACTGCTTAGTACTGCAAGTACAGGCTCCTACACATTCAATCCCACCCCTTAAATCTATTGTGTCACATCTATCTTAATCTTGTCTTTGATTCCCTCTCCCATTATTTCCTATCCATTGATGATTGACCTTGCATTTCTCTTCATTTCTTCTTTCTCTCTCTCTCTTGGTCATCTCTAACAAACAAAAATAATTTTCAAACACAGCGACACATGGCATGAAATGAGTTGACATTTGAAGTTTCGGTGACAAGGAGACCAGATTGATATTATCATTCTAAAACAATAGGAGGAAAACTATGGTCTTGAGAAGTTAGCTAGATTTAGGTTTACTACCATCAAGATCAGAAAGATTAAATATAAGTTTTAGTTTTTAATCAATTAGCAGAGAGATCTAGATCTTGATACATATCTAGCAGAGAAGATGATCGCAATTTTTTTTTTTTACTTCTACAACTTAAAGTATCAACACTAAAACCAATCCGCCCGAATTTGATAGCTGAACTTCTTCAGTTAGCAGCACCAACACAAAACTGGGTACGAGGTACAAATTAATATTCAGTTTTCCTCCCACTTCATAACATAATTTTTTTTAAATTTACAAATCACAACTACAAAGCAACAGAAGTACGTATATATTGCAACTGCCACGGTAAGGGCTAATATATCTCCAGCGTGCACTTAACACAAAAACTCGGGGTTGATGAAGCAGCAAAGTCACATTTTTAGAATTAGAGTAGAGCTGGGTAATTTCGCCAGTTGGGGAATTGTGTAGATTCATCTGTTATATTTATTCCCAATCTCTACCCCCCTCCCCCTTGTAAGATTACATTATTGGAATATTATTTGTAAAGATATGCGTGCTTATCTTTTTAAAATTACACTGTAACTTTCATTTATTTTTACCGGGTGGTAAATAGTTTTATCCTTTTACAAACAGATGATGTTTTTGTTTTGTTTTTGTAGAAGTTTTCACCCCCAATCGACACTATATATAGATCATTTAGGAGGTGGTCTTCGACCCTGCCTGTCGGGGCCAACGTCCCAGCAGAAAAACTGAGATACTCGAGAAAAATTCCGCCCCCTCACGTTCTCTACATTCAACGGCAAAGTGTCAAACCATTGCGCCACAGGCACCGGTGCAAACAGATGAATACCATGTACAAGCAATACAATGTACCAAATACTGTACAATATGAAACTAAGGCTTCTTTAAATCACAAATAAAGGAAAATACATTGTGATTCAAATATCTACTCAAGACAAGAACAAAAATTCAGTTGCAGATTTACAAACTTTCAGGTTGGAACTACAAACACATCTACTACAAATTCTGATAACGTAATGAAATTAGACGTCATATTACAAAGGGGTTTTTCATCATTATTTTAAAAATATTTAAAAAAACAAGGGCATCTTCAGGTTCTTGTAAGTTCTCTTATTCTAGTTTCTGGTCTTCGTCATCTTCTTCATCAACCTCCGTTTTTCCTCCATCCTGTGCACAACTTTGTGTCTCTTCAGTGGAGCTACACTGGGAAAGTACTCCCCACACCCTTAACACACTCTTTCCCTTAAAAGCAGCATTTCTCCTTTTCCCCCCTTATCTCTCATTCTCTTTCTCTCTCCCCAACACCCCCTTTTTTATTACACTTTTATTACATCAGCCAAAGATCCCCCCCTTCCAGGGCGTAAGATTATATTTGAACGGCCCCTTACTTTAATTTTGTTCAGGTGCCAGAAGTGGATCATCAGCATCAGGAGAGATGACGAGAAGATTGCTGACATCAAGTCGAAGAGGGTGTGCTCTGCACATTTTCATGAGAAAGCCTTCAACTGCCCTACAGACATTCAGCATTCTCGATTGCTACCGACTGCTGTGCCTACCATTGTCAACTGCCCAAATCCTCCTCCATCCATAGATCGTCGACGACCTACGCCCAAGATAAGAGAGTCTGCAGTAAGTTCAAAGAGGAGACGATTAGATAGGCCTACTGACAAAGCTTCTACCCCTAGCTCTGCATACGATGCAGGTGATGGTGACAGTGACAGTAATAGGCCCATGATAAATGCATCCAAACCAGATCCTGAGAAGTTGGCCCGTGAGCTGGAGCACACCAAACTTGCTTTGAATAACCTCAAGAAAAAAGACAAGCAGCTTGAAAGGAAGTGCAAAACTGCACAAGCAGCTTGAAAGGAAGTGCAAAACTGCACAAGCAGCCAAGGTCAGAGTTGAGGAACGCCATGCCAAATAAGTAGCATCTCATCATGTGAGGAAAGAAGCAATCCTGGAAAATTTTCTAAAAGACCTACCACTTGTTCCAACAGCTTTATTTCAGATCCTGATGGGGGTGAAAAAGTGGATCAACTGGGACACAGAGAAAAAGGCTATGGAGTTGTGTCTCGCTGTGTACTTTAGAAGCACTTCAGCATACGTTATTCTCCGCTCCTTTGGGTTTCAGCTCCCGCACCCAAGAACACTCAGGATTTTCGACTGTGCTGACTGGGGTCGGTTTGTGTCAAAGTCTGTTGGAAATGATGCAATTGAGAACATTAGCACTGGGGAAACATGAGAAAAGAGTGACACTTTCCTTGGATGGAATGACTGTGACCAAAGCCCTGACATACAATCATCATTGTGACGAGCTGGTTAGAGAAGAAAATTTTGTGTCCCTGTCCTGATTTGAACCCGCGACCTTTTTAACGAAAGGATTGTGACGCCGAATGCCTAGACCACGAGAGCCCCAATACATGACAAAGATAAAAACTAATGGTATAAATAGTGTATGACACACACACACACATGAACGCACTCTCCCCCTCAGTCTCAGTGCACACATTACAAAGTGACAGTTGACAGGTCAAAGTTTCTGAAGCAGTAACTACTGGGTGAAAATAACAGCCCAACGGCTATGAAGAGCCTTTCAAAGAAGAAACTTCTTCTAGATCTAGGTACGAGTGTCACGCAATAGTTTTCTGCCCATCCTGTCTTCTCAGTAAACGGACTTCCTTTTGCCATAAACCATAACCATTAATAATTCATTTATAGAGGCACCAGCCATCTGTGTTTGGGTGCTGCTTTAGCCTCTCCTTTTGTTCACACAGTCGGCCTACGTAATCAGTCTGTCATGTCATAAACATAAACAGACTGGGCATACCGTGAGACCAAACTGTGCACTGCGTGTGTGCGGCTCGCCCATAGATGTACACTAAAGTTTAAAAGGAGATAACTCTATGGGCTTGCCACAAAAAAAAAAGCCCAGCTGATCTCAGCATTAAGAAGATGGCGGCCGTCTGAGCCAACCAGAACCCGTTTTTCCATCACGATAAGAGGGCTTGTCCCTTTTGCTAGTATTGGTGTTCTGTGGTTCGGTGTCCCTCGGAAGACACTGGCTGATCATGTTTCGGGGAGATCTAACATAAATAGGAGGGCGGGGAGGGAAAGAAACATCCCAGAGGAGATTGAAAATGCAAATGTAGATAGGGTGATAAAGGCTTCCAAGTCTGGCTTCCCCTTGACAAAAAAAGGTTTTATTAAAAGTAGGGTGGGCCGTGAAAAGATTGAGGCTGAAAACACAATTAAAAAATGGGATACTCGGGAAAGACTACTGGTCTGACCTTAGGAAGAGGCGTCCTGACCTTTGATCAGGACTCCTCAAAACTGTGCCTCTAACAGGCTGACCATGACTACTCGACCAGTAATTAATGGTTATTTTAATTATCTTGAAACCATCATGCATAAGTTGCAGCTGCTGGAGAAACCAAAAAAGATTTGGAACTGCGACGAAACTGGCCTGAAGTTTTTGCCAGACTGCTCAAGAGTCCTTCAGCAGAAAGGGGCCCGAAACGTAATAGCAAGATGCAGCCCATCAAAGGAGAGCGTCACCACCCTGGTCTGTATTAACGCAGCTGGCCAAGCCATGCCTCCCCTTTGTGTCGTCAAGGGAAAAACGGTGAGATCGGCCCAGTCCTTCGCAACCCAGGATGGACTTGAAGGAACAGTATGGACATACCAAGCGAACGCCTGGATGGACGACGACATCAGTGTGCAGTGGTTCCAGAAAGTGTTCCTACCCAACTGTGGAGAGGCAAGACCCCAGCTGCTGATCCTTGATTCCCACCATAGCCACAAGGTCCTGGAAATGCTTGAGCTGGCACAGAAAAAGGATGTGCATATTCTTGCCCTGCCTCCTCACACCACCCATGTGCTACAGCCTCTGGACAAGGTGGTGTTCAAACCGTTTAAGACCGCCTACACAAGGAACTGCACAGAGTTTTTGGCATCAGAGCCCAGCTCCACAATCAACAAGGTGATGTGGCAAAGGCTGTCGAGAAACACATGGAATACCACGATGAGGCCAGACCTACTGGCAACAACATTCCAGGCCACTGGGATCTTCCCTCTTAACAGACACAGGATCCCAGAGTCAGTCTTTGCTCCATCAGACGCTCTGAGGGGCATTGCACAGATCGAACCTGCTGAGGACAGGGAAGAGAGTGCCACCATCACTGACCCTGACGCAGCTGGAGTCCAACATGAAGTCTCGTTTGACAGCAAGGTTCTTCATGGGCTGAGCATTGACCCGACAGATGCCAGCATGGAGCAGCCAGTGGATGTCATAGAACTCCTGGACATGACAGACCAACAACTTCCAGCACTCCCCTTTAAAGAAACAGTTTCCTCCTGGACTGTTCACCCTGCTCCCTGGGAGACAGCAGAAGTCCCTACGTCAGGTCAAACCCCATGGATTGTTCACCCTGCACCCTGGGAGATAGAGAAAGCCCAAGCCCCCACAGTTGTTCCAGGTCCAGCATCTTTACCACCTGTAGATCTACAAGAACAATCAGCGAACTGGAACATTGAATTAAGCACAGTTTTTTATTTTGATGTTATTCCAGCCACAGCTCCAGCACCAAAGCGGTCTCGAGCAATCAAGTCCCATGGATTGCTCACAAGCAAAGAATTAATTGACTAGAAAAAGGTTCTGACAAAAAGAAAGAGAGAGAGGAGGCTGTAAAGCAGGAGAGAAGGGAGAAGACGAAGCAAAGGAAATTGGAGAGAGAACAGAAAAAAGCCAAGAAATAGATCTAGATGTCGTCAATGACAATATCATTGATGAATGAATGTATGATATAAATAATCTTAAGTCTTTCTTACAAGCCTAAGCAAAGTTGTAACAATGTTAATGTTACCGTAGTGTTATATTTATGGGCCCTTATATTGCAATATTGGCAATATTTTCCATTGTTATGTGTGAAAATATGTTTTATTTTTGCTTGTTATCTGAAATTAAAAGTTGGAAAATAAAAACAACAGAAACAACAACAAAAAACGAAACAAAAAACCAACAACAAAACAAAAGGGAATGAAACATGAAGAGAAAAAAACTACTGGCGAATTTCCGCGAACACGGTGGCGAATTTTCCCGACAATAAAAAGGATTTTTAAAAACGAGAAACAAAATCCAACCAATCATGTTTCAATTAACATCTTAGGTCGCTTAATTTAGCAGCCAGCAAGTACTGAGGCACAGCAGTCGCGATAGCTGAGAGAACATGACGTTATCCGTCAGACAAGCTTGAAAGGGGCGAAATTACCTGACTCTATTCTACTTTGAGTTATATCCCACAGGGGCCTCATGACACAACAGTAGAAAATGATATTTTAAATGAAGAAAAATTTAAGGTCCATGTAAAGAGAATGCAGAGAGACAATTTTGCCTTTTTCTGTTCGATATGAGATTTCCAAAATTACCAAACTAAGACAGTCCCTTTTTTCCCTTGTAGTCATCAAGTAGGTTTTTGGTTTGGCAAAGTCCTATCCCTGATGATCAGCACTTCCTGCTCACAGACTCAAGGATAAAAACATGATTGTTGACTTCCCTCGGCGAAGAAATCACAGGTTGATCACTTAGATACAAGCAAAGCCTTTTCTGAGAGGGCAAAGGATCCCGATGCTTTTCTTTATACACGTTTGTCAACACTCAAATCGCCTTTCCACACAACCACAAATTATAGCAACAAAGGTATTCAGAAATCTTAAATAAAAATAAGGAAGATCCTCAGCTTTTGTGTAGGCCTACTTTCCTCTATGAACATCTTCCTCGAAAATCATGTTATGATTTCTATGGTGCAAGAGCCATTGAAATAAAACTGTTGTGCTTTACACATGTGCAAAACCTCATAAAAATAGCTTTCCTGAAATACATAGACCTACTGCTGACCAACACATAAGTAAGTTTCCTCAGAGTAAATACAGGTTACATGGTGAAATGTTGAGATAATACTAAAACCTTGCAACAAACAACATTTGAGGAACTATACAAATCATACATGTAGTTCATATATCAACACCAAAAACTTACAGCTCAATATAGCTCAATCTGGGCAATGTTCCCACCACCATCAAAAGGTTTATTTTGTTATATTGGAGACGTGAATGCAGAAAAAAAGTTAAAATGTTGGTATCTCAAATAATTTCACTGGTGGTACTTAAGAAAACTTTTTTAAGGCATAAAAAATATATAAATCTAATATAAAACCATTCAAAGAGGTCGAATTATGTTGCAAAGCTGCATGTTTCCGATTTCCATGAAAACAAGATAATATCATTATGCCCTCACCACATACAGAGGACCATAGAAAACTGACTTGTTTGTAAGTGAAACCTCCGTCACAAATTATTTTTGTATTTTAACTAAAAACATTCAAAGCTCAAAGCAGACAAAGGGCAAGCAGATGTCTCGAAAGTTCAGAGCTCCATTTGGATGATGACAATTCCAAAGTGAGATATCATTGGTAACAATGCCAAATTCTAAACAGAAACAAACACAGCTATACTTCACTCAAGCTTACTTGCACTTCATATATCTGGACACAGTACAAAGCTAGAAACGAGACACAAGAATTCAAAACCAGAGGACATTCAACTCTTTCTTTGTTTTACATGTCAGTCTACAAAAGTGTTGACAGACTAGTAGGGCCTACAGTGGTGCACACCAAACTCGGAAAAAGCATAATTCAAAAACACAATTTGCTCAAACTCAGATCTCAGTCCTGATTCTATTTCCATTTATTCTTTGTATTAAAGCCATGCAAAACTCATTTCCAAACATAGAGAACTCGAACATTTTGTGCTGGTCTGAAAACAATGAAACAAAGCAAGTACACTGGCTGTGATTTTTTGGTATGACTCACTTTTTCCTAACTCATTGATCAGGCTTACAAGAGAAACTAATTAGTAACTCTGACTGAAGACTAGTGATGAAACAAGGTCTCTGAAGGGCAGGAAAAAAAAGATTGCAGAGGTAGTGAGGGATATGTAGATGACGTGCACAGCATTGTCCTCTATCATGTAGGGGGTATGCGATGTGGTTGAAAGAAAAAGAGAACCAAGTGGAATACAAGGACAGGGGTAGGCAGCCAGGTCACATGGTGTACTTCATGTCATTCAAGCCAAGAGACTGGTCTTGCTCTAGCTTATGCTTCTGTCTTTTTTTTTTTCTGAGCCCCCCTCCATCAACACAATTTAGATAATCCAGGAGGCCAGCTTTGACCTTGCCTGTCAGGGCCAACCCCACAAGAGAGGGATGCAACATCCAGCAGAAAGACAAAAATGCTCTATAAAAATTATCCCTACTCAGGAGGAATCATATCAATTCAACTACTGAGAACTACTTGTAGAAGAATACCAAATATTTTAATTGTCATTATTAATGTTGCAACAATGCAACACATACAACTCAAATTGCAGTAAACTCAAACAAACTGATAAAGTCCTTCATAAGGTATAATAATCTGTGTTCAATTGTAAACAAACAGAGAAAAATGAAACAAAACTCCACAGAGTAGTGATAGTAGCCTACAAGAAGAGTCTCTGACCTATTATGCAAGCTTGCTATTAGTTTCCTACACTGTAATTTATTAAATTAGTTAGAAGCAATAGTTAAAAAAAAAAAAGATTTAACGACAAAAGGTGGAAAAGAAAAGTAAACAGACAAAAATGGCAGCAAGATATATGAAATGGCAGAGGTTCAAAACTTGTCAGGTTTGCAAGGTTGTACTGAAGGCAGAAGTGAGTAGCAGTCTTTCCGTGAGCGAAATGAACACACTAGAGACCATGCTTGGTCCGGTATTTGAGCCTTGCTGCTTCCAACATGGCTTGCTTCCTCTCCTGAAATGACATCTGCCTTGCTCTGGCATTGTTTTCAAAATTGCTGGCTTTGAAGGACAGGCCCTGTGACTGAATACAAGAAATAACAATGCCAATGATAAGAGAGAAGTCCAGAAGTAAATGTGATTGAATATCCATCAAAGTACACAGTTTTTCAGTTCTCAATCTTACGAAACTAATGATATCAAGCAAAATAACTTAAAAGCAGCAGAAATTTTGAAAAACAATACTGACCTTGCAAAAATGTATTGATATGAAATGCAAGCACTTTCATAATTCTTTGAGCTAATGAAGAATGTATTTTATCTAGTAGAACTGATTATAAAGTAACAAAAGTAATTTCAAGGTAGGTAGGTAGATAAAGTAAAATTCTCTCATTTTTTGTTTTTGCACGGTTTTACAGCGATCGCAACTGCACAAGGTCATATGAGCGCCAGGGGGTGGACGTCAACAGAGAAATCCAAACAGGGAATCACGCAACAGCATAAAGTCTACTTCGACTATCAACTTCAAGGCACCCTGGAAATAGCAGTTCACAAGAGAGTGACAAACATACAAAAGAAGAAGAGGAAAAATGACGACAATAAAGATGAGGAAAGAAAAAGCAGCAGTTCCCCCTATGTTGTTCTGGCATGGCGTGTCAGCAGACACAGAATTAACCAACAAAGCAACCAGACCATTCATATTCTGGCCAAAAACAAAAACAAAAACCAAACAGACCAATGCACTTTACTTGATTGATTAAAGACTTTAAACGTGAGCAAAATAATTTTTTATAAACCATAATTTTTACGCTGACATTACAGCAAATTGGCCTCTTATTTTAGCTCTGACCAATGTGAGAAATAATGTATTTGGCACACTATCTGACAACATGTTTTTCATTTTTATTTGTCATACTGAAGTTTATCATTACACGTCAAGCACAATAAATTGTTTGAACAATTGTATGGTTCTAAAATATTCAATTGTTAAAAAAGCGGAGAGCTAGGGAAAATTATATACTTATTTCTTTTTGAGGAGAAAAAAAGCAATACATCACAAAAAAACCCAACAAGGGCACAGTATATAAATTTACAGCGAACTTCCATTCTTTTTAATGACAAAAGTAAAGCTACTCAGAAAAAAAAAAGTCTTCCAGCATATCCAGTGACATATTTACACACACTTTACATAACAAATAAAGACAAAGATAACATCACACTGCGAACACATTTCTCACAAATATTTTTTTTTAAAATAAAAAATTTATATAAACAAATATATTAGCAGCACAACTCACAATGGCACACACAATAGCAAACAGCACAATGTCGCATCTATACATACCAAAGAAATCATTGGCTTTTCAGGAGTATCTTTCCACTGAGAAGGATCTATTCTGCCATCCAAAATATTAGCAATAGTTGCATCAACGTCCTTGGTTTTCCCTGAAACAATGATTAGTTTTAAAAAGTTGCCACAATATCTCCCTTAAGTCAGTGAAGAGGTAAGCTTAACCAAAGAGTTTAGTCAACAAATTTTACTTTGTACTCCACTGGGATGTGTTCAAGCTATACAAAACCATGACTTAATGCTTGTTGGAGGTAAGGGTGACAACAAAATTGCTGATGAATGACCAAATGAAGAAGGCTTTAGATGCAGTAATCTATCATGCCTGGCTACTTTCCCTCTGCCAAGTTCAACCAATTTTTCAGTATACAGGAATGCCATTTGTTCATTTCACAACTGGAAAGAAAATGTTTAAAGAGATGAGACCAGTCATCCCAAAAAGCTGAGCTTAGGTTTAAAGTTTTAAAAAAAATATTCTGCAGCACTTGAACGGAATTTTTAAGAAAAAAAAAATACTTACATTTTTTTCAATTAATGCATCAAATTTTAAACTTGGGTGACAGTTTGCCCCTAATGATCAGTGAGTGTGGAATATTAATAACATTTGATGCCCATAGAGTGTAACAAGCAAAGCAACTCATACTGCATCCAACGAAAAGACTCACAACAAAAGAAAAACGAGAAACCCAGTTTTTGTTTTGTTTTAGGAGAGGTTTTACAGCACTCGCAACTGCATAAGGTCATATGATCGCCAAGGGGTGGATATCAACAGAGAAGTCCTTACAGGGAATCAGACTTACTCTGCTCACTTCTCTAGCTTCAACAGCACAAAGTCTGCTTCGACTATCAAGGCACCCCAGAAATAGCGGGTCACAAGAGTGTGACTAACATACAAAAGAAGTAGAGGAAAATGACTATAGTAAGGAATAGGAAAGTAAAAGCAGCAGTTCCCTGTTGTAGTTCAGGCAGTTATGAACATGATATTGTTGGATTAGCCCATTTGCAATTCTACTGTGCATTAGAACGAGAAATGTCCCCCCTTTGGGAAAGTTCTAAAGACACTTCAGTCAGTGGCACTGCCCCGGGGGGTGAACCCACAGTTTAAGTACTTGTCTAAATCATGGTTCTCATACATGGAACACTCACTGAGATCAGACAGTATGCACTGGGACGGGATATCTGGAAGAACATCTTTCACTTGCTTAACCATCTTGGTGAGCTCAGCATCTGATGAGGTCAGTGTTGGCTGCGGAGGCTGAGGAGATGCTGTCATCGTCAGTTCAGGACTTTTTTGAGGCTCAATTCTTGGAGGGGGGACTGAAACAAAATTTATTCATTTAGATTTTAAAATGTCATAAGAAGCCCAAATAGTATTTAACTTAAAATGTAAAGTTTTTTAAACTGACATTCAATACTGCACTTTTTACTTCACAAGGAAAATGATTTCATTTACTAAACAAGGAGATTGGCTCAAAATCTAAACCAGAAATTTATACCAGTACTTTTAAGGGGTTATTAGCAGGTACCACCTCACTAAGCCATATGTCCAACCACAAAATATTTGCATGCCATAACAGAAACTTACTTTGTCTTCTTTTGTGCTCTTCTTTCCCATTTTTCTTAATTCGTAATTAATGACTTCGATATAATGAAAACACACCCGCACACTAAGGTGATGGTCATGATGGTGAAAATGCAGAGCCAAACGCTAAACTTGAATCATTGGTATCACGAAAAAAATCTGAATAGCTCTCAATTTCATGTCTTTCCCCAAAACATTCTGCATAATCTATTGTATTTTAGTTTTAGTGACTCAGAACAATTATTTCTAAGACAGACCACTGATAACTCAACAGGAAAGTGGACCAAAATAAAACTTTCCAGGAAAAAATTCAAACCCCTATCTGATTTCACTCTTGAGCATTCTCAGGTTTCTCAGGAAGTTGAGATTGTTTCAGAATGCTGGGGTCATAATGCTTGCGGTTGAGCGGGAATTTGTACTATACAAACAATATTTTTCATTTTTATTAATGTTATTTGTTCAAATTTGCAATAAAAAAAGCAATAGTGCCAACCAAAGCTTTTGGAGTGAAAAGCTTTTAGAGAAGAGTAAAAATGGTGTGTACAAGGAGAACTAGTTAAAGAAGACTGCAAGAGACTCCATCTACTTAGAAGAAACAAGGAACAGCACAATGCAAGAGTGTAAAGAGCAAATGTCACAGGACACTGTTTTTTATGATCCGGCAGTGCATAAAACAACTCATTGTAACAGAAGTTCACAATCTAGAGGGGATGTGAAAACAATACCAAAGTAGTGGTAACATCTTTTCTTTACTACACAAAAATAGGTAATCTACACATTTCAAAGGTGGGCCCAACACTATGGGGTTATGAGTATCAATTGGGAAACAGTGGACTCTACGATATCAAATCAGCCCATGATGAAAGAACAGAACAAAACAAAATGACCGGTGAAGACAAAAGAAGCAAAGACTGTGTCACAGACGTTGTGGAGTGTGAGTGAAATCTCATCAAAAGAAGAGCTGCTACCTTTGCCTATAGCACAGCAATAACTACAACACACAGCTCCTGCACAAAGCACTGAGAAGAAGCACTAAAGTCCATTACCCAGCCGACCAGTTGATTTAAAACAGTCAGCTAAGTAAGTCTATTGTGTTGAATAGTTTCTCCCTGCTCCCCCACCCCTCTTTGCCAAAAGGAAGGCTTTTTTACCACAAGTGATAAAACTGATCTCTTTCTCTTTTCAGCTACATTGGAGACCAAAAAAAAAAGGTGTTCCTGTGTCAATACACATTTGTCTCCTTCTTTTTCTTTCTCTTAAAGACCCTTTTCCCAATGTTGGATACTCAAGAAATTATTAATGGCTGTGCTGTTACAAAATGAAAAGAAAAAATGTGTTCAGACAATTTATTGCCAAAGAACAAAAATGTTTAATCTCATTCAAGTAAAACTTCAGTACTGATTCACGTATCATTACTATTTATGGATCTAAAAACTGAAATGAAATACACTTCACAACATTTCATAAGACAGCACAACTCACAAATAAATAGAAAATCTTTTATTTTGAACCAACCAAAGCAAATATCCTAATCAAATTACAAGAGACATAAACATTTGCTTGCAAACAAACAATACTTCTGCCATTCACAAAGGTCAATATCATGAACACTTGTTTCTGTCAAGTGGAGGCATGGGGGCTGAGCCAAAAAAGTTTCACTCAACACATTATGCTCACAAGTAGTTTTGTGACACATGGCCACAAAAAAAAAAGTTTCACAAGAAATAAAGATAACAGTAACTTTAAGCAGAAAGTACAAGAATGAGATTGTATCAGAATGCTAATCACGTGCCCGTTTCAACAAAGTGTTAAAACGAACCCATGTCAGCAGTAAACCAAGAAAACATGCAGCAAATTTCTACAATATTTTTTTTACAAAAGGCCCTTTACTTCACAAAGAGGTTAAGGAACGAAAACGTTGACAGTCTAAAATCTATTTAAGATTCATAACCTCAACCCTGGTCAGGAGCCTGCTCTAAAGGGCTCTTAACCCATCGAGGTCTGGTTCCCTGAGCCTACATCATGACCTGTGCACCTGAGCTCTTTTGGGGCAACTGCTAGCTTTAAACCACTGCACCTTAACATGTACTTTCAGAAAGCAAAAAGATAAAGGAAGTGGACATTCAGGTCTATAGGGGATAAGGACTTCAAGCACCTTGCAAGACAGTCTATCAGCATGACTAACACAGGAAATAAAAGTTCTGCTATTAAATAGCTGAAATATCACTTGAACACATGTAAGCCTACATGAGTAAATGTCAAAACTTGAAAGACTGAACACTATAGTGGCATGTGACCATTTCTAATCCTAATTGTATCGTAACGATGAAGGCACCAAATATCATTGCTCACAGCTGTGAAACGCAATAAACACATGCTGCCAGTAACAACATTATGCAGCAATCGTCCATTCATTTTTTGTTCTTTCCAACATCCTGACCCTCAGAAGAAAGGTTTTTATAATTGTCTCTCTCAGAGTCAAAAAGATTGCGTCAGATTTCCACACATGAGTATACTTCAAACCATTTTTCAAAATTATGAATACCGTTAAACACTTAAAGTCAAAAGAACACCACTCCAAGAGATCATAAAACTAACGTACAACAATTTCATAATTCCTCTTTGTTGTCTTAGTCCGTAAATGTGGGGAGTGAAGGACATCCATATCAGTTATTTTCAAAATAAACCAAAAACCTGACTCATGCATTTGCTCCCAGTCAAACTATATATTCACCTCTTTCTTTTGTAGTGACAGACTTTATATGTTCAATAACGTCATGGTGAGTGAACTGGGATGCAGACAAGCCCATGCTCTTTGCCATGTTCTGCTGCACTCTCACAACAAACTCCTCTTTGCTCTCATCCCTCTTCTTCTCTGTAACTGGCAAATATCTGGGGAGTACAATTTCCATGTAAGCGGAAAATTTTTAGACTACCATGCTTTTCAATAAGAGAGGACTGAAAGACTAGCGCACTACTGACTGTTGCAGGAAACAAATTGATACAGTGTAGCTCATAAGACCCCACACACAGTTAGCTCTAGTTAAAAGGCGTACAGCTAAAGTATAACAAGATATGCAGGACAAGAAACAGTATTAAGTGACCTATCAATAATTATGTTCGGGTATAGGTCTTCAGAAGTGAATCCACTTAAAATGATCAGTTAGTTCAAGGAAAAATTTAAAAAATAAGACAGACAGACAGAACAAGAAGGGTATAAAATCATACTAAGAACTTAAGTTATGACGTTGACATCAAATTTTCCAGTTCAGTATTAACATCTTCCAGAGAAAAAATCTCTATTTTCTCTGTTATCTAATAGGCTATCATCATCCACTTTCAAAATAGGGTATAAAGTCGTTTCTGTCAGGGAATTATGATATGTCTCCTCAAACTTCAGTGCCATGCTCATGAGGCCATTATCAAATACTTTCATGGTGGTGATGTGAAGACATGGCTAAGGGTAGTTTTTTCAGGTTTCTTTAATCCCTGATCGAAAGGAATATGCAACAAAACAAGTAAGTCTTCGTAAATAAAAAAGGAAATATTTTGTCCTACACGCCATTAGTCCTCATTAGCCAATAGTAAAAATTTTAAGATGATCTAATTTGAACAGGTCAGCTGAAAGGGAAAATCCAAAATAAATCCCTACCCTAAAAAGAAAAGACTGTAGTTAGAATAAACAACCACAAGAATAGTACAAATTGTTATAAGACTAACCAAAAGCAAAGAACATAGCTTTTTTGCTGGTAATAAAAGGCCAAATATGTCAAAAAAATAAATTAGATAAAAAGTTTCACGAAGAACAGACAACTGATTTTCCCGAAACTAAAAAGGAGAACACAGACAAAAACAACAGTGTTATGTCCACATAGAAAGCTCCAAAATCACTTTACCTTGCAAAAATAAAAGGAGACTCGGAGACTCACTATATAATAAATCCCATCCCAACATTCTTAACAGGAAGAGCAACTTACCTGATCTTGAATAAAGTTAATGGCGTCAGGAAACACCAGGCAATATCTTCAAAAAGCGTACTAGAGTGGGTAGACTGAAAATAAGCAAAGGCAAGCACTACATCAAATCTGCCTCCACAAAAATCTGACAGACTAAAGAGAGCAAACAAAAACATAACATATGGCATTAGATAACATATTGAGTATCAACACAAACTTTCAGTAAATCCTCTCAAAAGACAAGTAGCTTTTGCTCTGAAAATTCATGGGAAGAAAATCCAACAGAAGTATATCTTGCATGGGAATCGATACTTTTCCAAGATGTTGTTTTATCATATTCTGTTCAGTTTTGTACACTATAAGATTACAGTAAAGAACCAAATGCAGAAGAAAAAGAAAAACCTGAACTGGCACGCAAACTACATTTTGCAAACTTAGGAGAACATCAAACAAAGAAACAAGGAGAAATATACAAATATTATCTTGCGTCTGCAGCTATATTTTTCAATACATATAGAATTATGTACCAAATTACATTACTACCCTTATTAACTCTTTTCCTACCAGGCCAAAATCCACCACTGGTCCAGGGCTTTTCCCTGGCCTATTTTTACGCCCCTACCCCACCACAGGAAAATGTCAAAACATTCAACTTAACACACACAAACCATATCGTATGGCCCATCAAACTGAAGGTTAAAAAATAATCTCAGATGGTGATACAATATTGAAGATTTATTCAAATTATATTAGTTTGGGGTTTCTAAAAGTGATTATGCAATATCAAAGTTATCATATGAAATCAACAATTTTCCAGCTTTAAAAGGTCGTATCTAAAAAAGTACAACACCAGCATCATTCAAACTTCCCAGGCAGGTTGCCTCAAGTAATACAAAGAAATGTTGAAAGTTATATATATGTGTACCTAATATAGAAGTGAAAATATGAGACATATACTGAAGTCAGGGGAGCGTTTTTTTTCTCATTTTTACTTTTCGAAGGGGACAAAAAAGCGCTGAAATGACAAAAAAATCGTCTCTCAGCGCTATATATTCTGTCATATCTGCTGACAGGAAGTCTATTCTATTATTTAGAAAATGTGGATCGGCTAAGAATTTCTTGTCTTTTCATTACTGGATTGGAATAGATAGCGCGCCACTTGAGCCGAATTTTGCGCGGCTCTCGGTCCAGCGAGGCCACGTCCGCGAGCGGCAACATGCGGCTCGCAGTAGAGAAAGTGTTAAACGGGAGAAAAGTATACAGATCAACAAGAAAACAATTTAAACAATATTACCATACTCTCAACAAGAGTACACTTCTTTGATCCGTGCAGCAAAGAAACGTGTATAACAATACTTTACAACAGGGCTTTCTGTGTATCATACCTCACTTCAAGGCCAAAGGTTCCCATTTGTGAAAACTCACTTCACCTTCACAAACTTCCAGTCATCTTTCAATATACTTTTTGTATCCCAGCCCCAGGTATTATCAAAACTTCAAATATTTCTTCATTTTGTCTCATCTAACAGATATCTACCTCATAACTCTGAGAGTTACAATAGAGGCTTCATTGGTCGTCTTGACTCTCTTCCTCATGTTTACAAGAGGGTCAGGCACACTCACTTTGGTCCCCGCATTCATACATTTTGGGAGTATATTCAATTATTTGAGAACTAAAGACACAAAAATAGTCATTTAGTCCTGGTAAAATGAAAGACAACGAACTGAAATGACGTACAGGACAAAACTTTGTCACCAACACCTAAGATCCACTTTATGCACAGCCAACCGAGACCACTGTACATGAACAGACTCCTATGTTTACATATATACAAATAAAGCTATTATGTCTATTTTAAAAATATTTTAAAAAGGAAGAGTATCTTACCACACGAATATCAAAAAGATAGCGATATGCTTGAATGGTAACCTGTAATGGACAAAAGTAAAAACTGATGGGGTCAAGGGAAAAAATCAGCACATGAAGTTCAAATTTGGGAGAAACAATTCAAGAATTATATTCCCCCAAAGTTTGCAAATTACACCCCCCCCCCCCCCCCCCCCCAAATGTAATATTTCGATTCTTCATGTTTGAATGTGTCACGACACGGAGGAATCAGGCACATGTCAATTTTTGGGCATATGAGGTTATTGGTATCCTCTTAAAGCCTGTTCATTTATCTTCCTTCTGGCGAAAAAAAATACATCTATGTTGAATAAAAGTCAAAATATTTTGCGATTGAAGTAGGTCAGGGTTGCCTGGTTTCAGAGGTGAAATTAGTGAGAAAATGGCCACCAAAGTTTGGTAACTTCCATCGTCTGAGAGTCCTTGGAAATAAAGATTTACATTTTTTCGAGCCTTTAATCAGTGTTTTTCAATAAAATCCACACAGAAATGGGTTTTTAAACAGGCATAAAAGGTGCTGGGCCAAAAAAATTACATAAGAAAAAAAGCCTAACGGCCAGAAAAATGCCGGTTTTTTTCAGTTTTATTATTTTGACGAGTGCCTGATTTCACCACAATGCCTCACATATATATATATATGTGATCAAACAATCGGCTGGCTTCCTCTTAAAATGCCATCCAACATCCTGACTCGACTATATATTGTTTTTGGTTTGAGAGAATATTTTTTCAGAAACCACAGGAAATTTGACAATTTATTACCTGCACCTAGAGTAAAGAACTTTCTTTCCGCTATAATGAAGGCCCTGTTTGTTGTTGGTTATAACAACCCTTACAAGACAATTGTGCATTTATTCTATCAAACTAATCAAACTCAGCTGTATTGGAGTTTCTACTGACAAAGAATCACAACAAAAATGGTAAGGTTCCCTGCAGGCAAGTACCAGAGAATAACTAAGGTTTTTACACCCCTGATTCTGAAGAGTGATGGAAAAATGATTCGAATTCTCTGAAAAGAATAATAAAAAGTTTTAAAGTCCAAGAATATATCATGCACATTAATTAATACAACTTTCACGCTCGAGGCCGAGGCAAATTCTTTTTAAAGTCCCTGCATGGTCAGTATATAAATACAGCAGTCTCTGCCTAAGACCCCGGTGATCGGGAGCAAGGAAAAGGCGGGATCTTAGGCGAACGGGATTTTAGACAACAGACCAAGGGAAAAACCTATGGTGACCCATTTTAAGGCCCACAACCGGTAAATGGTCTCCCTTCACTCTAAAATGAACCGATGTAACCCTTGGGTGGGTTCGAGCAAAGAGTGGTCAACCTTGATGACCAATCACAGTGGAATGAGGCATGCCACTTTCACTGATAATCCTACTGTGTGTCTCAAGATGCCCTTCCTTTTACCTATTCAAAATTTATAGCTTTCCATCTCTGACCGAGTTCCCCTCCTCCTCCCCATCCTTTGTCATTACGCACCATAAATACGTTGTGACCACACCAATTAAAATTTAGTTCGTCTTGCAAATTTGGGAGTAGAGACAACTGCTTCAATGGTAAGGGAATAGTTCACAATTCCATGTGATTCCGTATGGAGCAAACTTGTAGGCCCAGCGAGTGATGTAAGTTTAGGTGGAGAGCTCTGAAGCCAGTGCGATGTTTGGGGAAAACAAATGCGTCGATCAGTTCACACCTCGGTGTGATCCCATCGGGCAAATATTGTACCATTTCATCAAGTTTTACAACGCTTATGTGATCACATTCACGAGAGTGGCTGATCTTTAACTGGGCGTGCAGTTCAATGATCTCAACTTTCTACTCTGGGTTGATCAGTTGTGCCTACCCGGATTATTTTCCTGTAAATTATGATCTGAAAAGCGAGATTTTAGCAGATGTAGACCTTCAGCGTGGGATCCTAGTGCTGACTTTTGTAAAGTAAGTATTCTGTTTTCTTAAAACAGCGGGATCTTAAGCGAGCCAGGATCGTAAGCCGTGGGATCTTAGGAGAAAACGAAGCGTAATTAGGAGTATTTTGAAAAACTGTACATAGCCAAATGAATGGTCATAATATGCTTCTAAATACTCACACTAGGGCTGAAGCACCTACAGACCACCACTCTTGAGATCTAGCAGGAAAGTATGAAAGAGGACTACTGACTAAAGGTCATATATACAGACAAAACTTCACTCTTTCAGATAATTTGGGTCTGCAAATAATATTCTAAACTAAACTAAAAATAACATTACTGAGAGCAAAAAAACCCAACCCATCAGATACTTACAGGCTGAATCGGGCAGTCCAACTCAAATGGCAGCATGCTGCAAAAGCAAGCAAAACAAGAATCTCATAAGAAGGAGCATACATCAGAAAGATCATTAAAGGTTTAACTTCCTAAAAGAACTTTTGATGAAAACAGTATTAATATTCCTTTTCACATCACTGATAAACGTAAGCAACTGTGGTGAAATAGAAAAGTCTCTTCACCTTACACATGAAAGAAAAGAGTATAATTCTCGAACTGGGACATTTAACTTATCAAGTTTCAGTCTTTTCACAAGAATGCGTATCCTGCTAAGCCCACATTGGCCCCAACAGGACAAAGTCAATACAGTCGGCCCTCTACATTTTCTATAATGTAATTCATAAAACAAATTACCTGAACTTCAGTATACCGCTCCTTCCATTCGTTTTTAACCGCTCAGGAAAAAATAAAAGTGGCTCCTCACATTCTGTGGAGAACATAAAACAAAAATAATCATATTTGCAATTTCATTTTTTAAAATAACATCAATCCATGACAGACAAAGAGTAAACTTAAGAAGTCCAAATTTTGGTACATCTTTTTTCACATTCCCCTAAGAATTTACTTGAAAACTATCAGGGCAGCTATGAGTCCAACTTGATTCATTTTTTTAAAGTGAAGTTCCGCTCGCTATGATCAGTGACATTAAACTGAGAATATATAAAGATAATACAAATGCTGACAATATGCTTTCAAACTTTGAAGTTTAATCCAAGAAAGAACTTGGTCTACCCATATACACTATATTGCTACTCAAGTTATCCTTAATGGGCTACTCTAATGTACTTACACCTCAATCCTATTCTGCGTGAACCTTATGCCTCGTACTAGGACAAAATTAGTGAAAACAAATTTTTATAAAATATTCTGCTGTTATAATACAGTATAACACGGATAGCTCGAATTCATCAGGACCGGCCTCAGTAGTTCATGGGATCTGTAGTTCAAGGGATATCTTACAAAAGTAAAGAAGTAGAAAAAAACGGGACTGCAGGCACAGTTCAACGGATGCGTGATTTCGAGTCTTCTGTGTTCGACCCATCCGTGTCATGCTGTAGTTTTAACGCTCTTATAATACAAAATAATACTAGATTTCAAAAGGCCTTAAATGTTGAGGAACAGTGATAAAGAACCTATACTTTGACGAAATGTCTTCAAACTTCTATTCAAACTTCTATTCAAACATAATTACAACACTTTGCAATCATCATCAGTAATCACAGTTCGCAATGCATTTCTCTGCTCAGATGCCATTGCAAACTTTTATTATCCCAGCGTTTTCCCCTGACCCTTCTGTTAAAGTTCTCCAATAGAGACACTATTTGTTCACCATTGCCTTTTTTGTTTTCTATTTTCCCTATGAGAGCAAGATGTTCAAGGCCTTTTTGCTGATTCAAGTGTCTCAGGAACTACAATGGCCTCTTCTTAATAGTTATTTTTAGCAACCATCTCACACTGACTTCTTTCAACACTGCAATCACATATTGAATGCGTTTGGGACTTATTTGCTTCTCAAGAATTTACGTACACAAATTCAGAAATTTATTCCATACCTGTCATTTTATTCTTGACCACATTTATGGTATCACTGTGATCTCTGTCTCCAGGAATGTCATACGTGGTCAACTTTCCTTTAGCAGATGCTAGCTGAGGGGACGGTGCTTCCAGGGTCTGTAAAAGCACACAGGGATGTTGATACAGTGATGAGAAGAGAACTTCGAAAATTTAAGAACAAATTCCTCCACTATGTTATACACACAGAAAAATAATCGTACAATAGAAGAAAATCCCAGCTGGAGCAGCAACACTGGCAAAAACAGTACAAGAACAGTTCCTTCAATAAGCAACAAACAAAACAAACAAAAATAAAATAAAAACTGAAAACAAAAACAAGGAAATGTTTTGCCTCCTTTTGTTTGGGAATCTCAGGAGGTAACATAACCATGGTACTGACACAGCATATCAAAACAATTTCCACAAGTGTATTGATATTTTGAAATAAGAAAAAAAGTAATGACTTTAACTTTAATACAATTAGAATGTCCTAGTAATACCCTTAACTAGTTGACTTGTTGAATAGCGCAAGATTAGTACTTGACCATTTTTTTAAAAAAAGTAAGTTGACAACTCACAATTGTCACACTTTCTGTTCAATGAAAGAAAATATGACATAATATGAAACTGCACTTAAGAATAATGAAACCTGCTAAATCATATTATCTCTGTGCCCTGGGGTTTTTCATACTGGTTAGAATTACTTTGAAAAAGAAAATACAAAAAAGAATGTCATCAATACTGTATAAATGTACACAACACATGAGCAGAATATAATAATAAGATCCAAGTTGACGAAACAACCTAAATTTTCATACCAATTATAACTTTCTCATCAGATAAGATTCATCAACTTTTTTCAAGACAAACACAATTACCTAAAAGAAGTCCATTTTATTTCTAGAAAGACAAAGTAAAAGAAGTATAGCACTTTTGATACATTTATAACAACTCCTCATTGTCACAAAAAGGTCTCAGATGTCATCATCATTTATTTAAATAGCACCATCTCCATCCAGTCATCCTACAAGTCATATAGTTTGTTAAATTGTTCCCTTGGTCTGTCCTCACTGGCGGCTTTTTTTTTTTTGGAGGGGGGGGGGGTATATTTCATTTCTCCTGGATAAGACACAGGACGACTTTGAAGCCTTGATTTTTTAAATAAAAATTTGTTTCCTACACATGATGATGGACTACTTCATGATCCTTCTGACTTGCAAATCAGCAAATCGAAAAGCTTCATTCAAGGTATAATATAACAAAATATAGGAAACTTAACAAGCATCTTTTAAAAACAATGCCTCAAATGTCTTTTTTTTTTCAACCCCAAAAAGCAGAGCATACTCACCAAAATTAGGGGATTAAGTAAAGCTAGTATGAACGGATCCAGATTTGAAACGTGGTTGGCAATCACTACTTTTTTCTTGCAGTCATTAGAAGGAACCCCTTGAGTTGATATAGGAAGACCTGTGACTGCCAACATAACTCTTAACATCAGCCTGAAAACACAATATATGTAAAATCAAACATTACAAGCCTGACTAGAAACCCAGTCAATATCATAGATCTAAACAATGTAATTTCACAAAAAAAGGTATGAAGAGAGAACCAAAAAACTAAAATTAATAGAAAACAGTAAAAAGGCCTGCAAGATGAACAATAACCGAACAAAATCCCACTTTAAGTACAAATACATATTTATGAATGTAACACATCGTAGACATACACAAGGAAGGAGAAAAGAGAAGCTGAGTTTCTTTATTCCTAAGGGGAAATCTGAGATACAATGGACCATGGTATATATAAGATCATAACACACTACTTAGTATTCCATCTATGATCAATTTCACATTCACACGGCAGCAAACAGTGACAGTCCAATTCCCTGTTCCATGAGCTAGATATTATTGTGGTTTGTTCAAAGACACAGCACACTGACCAGCCATCTTACACTGTCAGGCCATTCAATAACAACTTGATCACTGGCTCTCACATAAAAACGCACAGAATGAAATAAAAGTAAGAATGGAGCAACTTGTCAAAGGTCCAAGAACGTTAAAGTACAAACTTTTTCAAAATTACAGTAGGGCCCGCAATAACAGAACCCTATCCCAGACAGAATCTCCCTGCTACCCCCTTGATAAATTCCTGTGTAGTACATCTGTCTAACATAGAAACCTTCAGAACCTTGACACAGACATAGAAATTCCTTCCCTTTGGAGGGTTTTCACCTGTCGAAAACAGAAAATGCTTATCCATTCAATCCTGATTTGAAACAAATTTTAAAAAACTACCCACTAATTTTAGATCCACCAACTCCAACCTTTGCCCCATGTCACCACGCCAGAAAGGGGAAAGGGGGTGAGGTTTGGGAGTAGCTGTTACCACACCTATGTGATCCTTGTGCTGTGCTGATGGTAGAGGTGGTGTGACAGTGAAATCTGACCACTGCTTGTCTTCAAAGTGCTCAAGTGGTGCACCAGTACAGATACTTTCCTGGGTAGCCAAAGGTGGTGATTATACAGCCCCTTCCCCCCCCAAAAAAAAGTACCCATGCAAGGGAGGGATGGCATTGGTTGATTGTGCTTATATTATTACATCAACAGTTCAGTGTGAAAACAAAGAAGGCTTTCAATCGTTTCCATTTTTAATTGGTCAAACAGAGTGCTCCTATTGACATGCAAGCACTGATGGCAATGGATTAGTAAGACAGACTCTTGTCATAAACAGAGCAGCTAGGACATCACTTGGGAGATGTGAAGTTTTCACCACTGCTTGCTGACTGGACAGGCAATCCTTGATCCTTCATTCCCATTTAGGACAGTATCTAAGACGGAATTTTTCTCTTTCTCCCCGGCCTGCAATTCCTTCTTGAACAGGCTCAAATTGTATAAAAGTAAATGTATTTGGCAACAGTAACAACATTCAGTTTACGAATATACCTTTTGAAAGGAAATCCATTTGGCAAAAGATAAGACAGCAGACAAGCATGAAGGAAGATGAAAAATCTCAAGACTCCCAAAGCTAATCCAATTGGCAGATACAGCACCAATGGAACAAAAGATGCATAACTGGAACATCTGAAATGACAAATCAGAATTGAATGAATCAATAATTTATCAAAACAAAATATACACAAAAACCAGGAATACATTACAGAACTACGAGTATGCAATTTGAGAAGAATAAGGAGCGCTTGTTAATAAAACAGAATTTAAGTCAGAATTTATTTTTCTTAAGAACCTGAGACTTGTGCACCCAGAGCAAAAAGTCAAGAGCTGATTTTCATTCAATATTGACACACTTCTAATAAAAATACAGATTATCTGTTAAAAATTTTTTTTTTTTTTTAAATTACAGAATAGAGTCTATGTTTTATTTTCTGTCCAATATATCCAAGGAAAATGTGGGAGACACAGGATGACCTGAAAAGACAAGCCTTAAAAAAGGTGAAATTTTTTTTTTTTAAAAACAGTTGTCAATGAAACACACCTTTGTGAACAAAGGATTAACTAGACATTTTCATTTGACAAGTAATGGTTTTTATTGTGAACCAGGCTATATATATATATATTATTATCACACTCTAAGCCTAAATGCATTGTAATTTCCGCACTTTGAACCAATTTGGATTGGTATTAGTACTAGCCTACTGCTGTCAACAGGTGATCTACCTCTTTCTCTCATCTCAAACTACCATTATTTTGCACTTCATTATCTCTGTAATGGATTCAGAATCTCTAAAATTACTAGCTATTTTCAATTCCTATCGGCATGAGCATCACGTTGGCGTTTGGTCGACTTCAGCCGTCCCCGGCGTTCAAAACAAAACCAGAAACAGGACAAAGGGAACTCCCGATACTAAAATAGGCAGAACTTCAAGGGAAATCATTCTAATAAAGTGAAACTGCTCTGAGTGGTCAAAGGGATGTTACTCTAGTAATTGGACTATAATGCCGTTGCCGCATATGTATCTGCAATTTGAAAAAATAAAGAGGAAAATACGCGACCGACAGGGGTGCAGTAGTGGTGGAGAGCGGTCGTCGCCTATTGACCGACACAGGTGTGGCAATGGCTTTGAGTGAGTTAAATACTCGGTATCAATGTGTATGGGGGCTCTTGTGGTCTGGAGGTTAAGGTGTTTGCCTCTCATTCAGTAAGTTCGAAACCTGACAGCAAAGGAAAATTTTCTTCTCTAAAATGTTCTCCTTTCATGCATTTCCTTTCCTGCTCTCTAACCATGTTCGTGTCGTCTGCTTTCGTCTCCACTTTCTGCACCCCCACCTCTGAGCTCCTGACTCTTTCTGCAGCCTTTCTACTGCTTCTTCTTGGCTCCTTCATACTGCTATCTTTCAGCCACACTCCTGATCTTGGGGAGGTAAGATCTAACATCTAGCCTTCTCAGATGAGGGATAAAACTCTCAGAGGTCCCGTGTGCAAGTTGCACATGGTAAAGATCCCTTGGTGGTCCAAAATCAATAAGAGAGTAAGCTTTGGCTGCCACCTGAGCAAAATTCAAAATCAATTCCTATCAAAACTAAAAATGCTTAATTAATGTGTCCTGTGTGCTCATACGACCTTATTATGCAGTTGCGAGTTCTGTAAAACGTTTTCCAAAACTAAACAAACAATCAACGTTTTATCTGAAAGAGAACGAGAGATGCACTGCTATTTTTTAGTACAAAATTATCAGTACTTAGGTTTATATTGCACTTGTTTTTAACTCTTATCAGCTACCAATTACGTCGGACGTGCCAGGCAGGCCGCCGGGGTCACTCAGTGTGTACTGTTGGTGTACAGCGTGCGCGCCGGGAATCGTGTGTTTTCCTCATGAATACCGCGGGAGTGTGTTAACCGACGATGAAAATAACGCTCTATCTTTCATAGCTTTCTATTTATAAAGTGTTACAAACACATGAATAACCCCCTCTCACAAGCTAATCTGATTATATTACGAGTAGTTACGCCCATTCGAATAACCTTTCTGGACGCTCTTGTTGTTATGAATGACCTGAGGTTCGAAAGGGGATAATTTAGGTCAATTTACGAATGTTTTACCCTCAAATTGTTCTTTGTACCTGCACAATGGTATTCAAAACTATCAAACAAGCTTATTTTTTATCAGGTAGTATCATTTCATACAAAATCAAGCTCATTTGAAATATTTTGTTTAGAAAAATGGAAGTCTTGTTTCCTGACTATCCTTTCGAGCTCCTCATGTCTAAGTGGGTCAATTTCTTCAATAATTTCATTGGACGAACATCTGGAGCTACCAACTTGGCATGTTTGAATGAGGTGTATGCCTCGATTACGAACCAACGCAGGCGGTTCTAGAAGAAGGCCACAAACGCACACAAACTCAAGCAGACTGACACACACACACTTGAGGGAATCCAACTCGGGACCCGAATGAAACGTAAGAGGATGCGCGCTGCGCATGCGCTGAGCCAGGGGCTACACTGATTCGGGACCAGAACGTAGGCGAGGTGCCGAAATAGGCTTATCGGGCGACATAAACCCGGCTCCCGCAGGATGAGGGTTAAAAAAGGGGGGGGGGGGGATGCCATAATCTCATCTTTGCATTAGGTTTGATATTTTCTCTTGATCACCACGTGCCAAACATGATATCAGCACGGGCAGCGAAAAGTAATCGTTTAGAACCAGAAGTAATCATCGGTGAAGCCAAAAACCCATCTCTGCAGTCACACTAAAATGTGAAAAGACACGAAAACTAAGACGCGAAAAGACATGCAAATACGCGAAAAGACACTAAAAAAAGAAATGACACCAGTCCTAAATATGAGGGTGTCCAGCACGCTCAAATGACCTTGTTGCAGTTGCGAGCGCAGTCTAGCAACAAAAAACCCAAAAAACAAAAAAAATTAATGTGGAGAAAGTCGCATATATGGAAAAAATCAACAAGACGCGTTAAACAACGTTATTTTCCACTTGTCACAGTGGTACCCAGCGCCATAAAGTAAGGAAGGCAGGAGTTCCGCAGAGGACCGGCACTTACCGTGACAAGGCCCACTGAGAAATCTATACACAAGAGTTAGGGTTAGGGTTAGGGGGTTAGGGGTTAAGGGTTAGGTTTCGGTTTAGGGTTAGGGCTAGGTTTAGGGTTCAGGGTTAAGGTTAGGGTTATGGTCCCGCTCAAAATATCCCCTTTCAAATTTGTTGTTGGTCGGCCGACCCTCTACGGAACTCCTTCCCTAAGGAAAGTCCTATCCCAGTAATTACATAATTAAAATAATATTTTATTAATAATAATTGTAAGACGACAAAAAAGAAAATGAATTTATACAAAAGGACGTCATGCGCTAATAATGGCCCAATTTGGCATTCAACCGGAAGTCTCGGGAGTATATCATGGTGGAATATATTTTTATAAACAAAGGAAGAGGCTATCCTCACCCGGGGTGAGAATAAAAATACGATTGATCTCTCACCCCGGGTGAGACTTGCCAGCATTGGCTATTCTCACCCGGTGTGAAACAAGACCAGTTTTTCCTAATTTCGTAATACTGTCTATCAGTGTGGATGATTATTTGAATTGATAAAAGCAAAGAAAAAATGACATTATAGCCATAGCACAAAAGTAAGCTAATTTGATCGTCTACAAAGATGCTATGGCTATTACCCTTTTCGAATCAAACCGAACTACGCTG